ATGTTGCTGGAATATTGCTAAAAGCGGCTTAAAATCAAACTCAGTCAGTCAGTCAGTCCAGCTACTGCTGTTTGTTAACGCAGATAGGGAAAGTGACCATGACTATCTCACGTCTCTGTAATCCATTGTTTTATACGAGTAATTGTTGCTAAACGTCATTGAGGATTCAAACTGTTGTGGACTTTTTTTAAAAATTCACCCAGATACAGATTTGAGCATATTTTGGTTCTCAACTAGCGTACGTATTTCCTTGAAGTAATGGCCTATTTGTAGAACTGAATTTCTGAAGCACACACTTAAGAGCGGAGTGATTTGTGGCCGAATCTCAATTATGACCAACAGATGAGCAGGGTGGGAAGTGTGGTCCAGTGCTGTTTGTGATAGACACAGATACTACCAGGGTAGTCAGTTGCCCATTGCGTTTTGCTATACCCCACAGACATGAGCGAAGTGTATCCCAAATTGTGGAATACGGATCTGATGATACTATTGCCTATACGACCATCTTCTCCCTAGTGGACAGAACACTCGGTTTATCTAATGATACCATTTTCCAGACGACCGACCTCACCCCAGTGGCTCGGTATGAAGAGGAAGGGGAATAGCAAGACTGACTTTGAGTGGGATATTGACCAGGAGCTTGTTGGTTCAAATGGATTCTCCAACTGGTATAAGGGTAAGTGCTTTTCAGCTGAAAACCAGCCTGTGAAAAGGCGTGTGTACAGGCAATTGTTGGCTTCCAATGCATATTCCAACATGTGTAACGGCGGATGTATACGCAGTTTCTGGTTTCAATACATATTCCATCTTGTGTATACGCAAGTTTTGGTTTCCAGTGCATATTCCAACCGTTAATGTGTGTGTGTGTGTGTGTGTGTGTGTGTGTGTGTGTGTGTGTGTGCGTGCGTGTGTGTGTGTGTGTGTTCGCTCGCCCATTTTACTGGGGGATGGGGATCAGGTCACCAATATTCTACATGGTATGGAAGGGGAGGCACTTACTTTTTACATAAATTTTAGGGGGGGTCATTCGTATTGTACATGCCTCTCCATAAAAATCATCATCACTAGTGTAACGACGGTTGTATACACAATTATTGGTTTTATACATCCAGTTAAAAAATATTAAAGGTGACGTAATATGTTTCTTCCATAAACCATAATCACATCGAATCGATAGACGAGTTTATGTCCAATCTCATGATCACATTGGCGCATGAATACATAACAGAATGAACATGTGAGACGTCATTCGGCTTACTACTCATACCTCTGTCACCCTCCACACAAACGTTAGCGTCATATACGTGGATTATGAAGATAACACACATTAATTCCTGAAACATTTATCTACATTCTAAAACCATAAAGGAAACAGCCATTAGTGAGTTAGGCAGAAGTATGACAAACGTATGAAAATAGTGCCTCATAATCTGACCTTAGGTCATCACCATGGAGAAGCCAATCACGGACCTTGAATACGTTCTCGTACTTATGTTTGAAATCTATCTCTCAAATAGGTTTATCGTTCACGGGTTTGTGAAATGGGCATGTTGGATGTGTTCTGGGAAAGCGAGTCGATTGTTAACGTATCTATATACTTGATCCAAATGATACCATGCTGCTGTGCACTGGATTGTCTGATACAGACTCGATTATTTACAGACCATCGCCATATAACTGGAATATCTTTAAATTCTTTCTTTATTCGCAGAGTGTATGTAGGCCATCGGCCCATAATACAAATATTAAATGTTTGCAGCCATATATGATTGGCGGTGCTTTACAGCATAATAAACAAACATTGCTACATTTCTGATGACAAAGGTATTGTTTGAGGTCATCAATATATTGAAACTTGACAAAGAAGGGTATGTGTAAAACTTGGCAGGAATATATATAGTGCGCAAGGAACTGTATGCAGTACACACTAAAATGAAAATTATGATACTCGTTTTCTATTGTCGCACATGTTACATAACCTGTGATGTCTGGGCTTATTTGTGTATATACCTGTCTCAATATATATTGCTGCAGCGTTAAACAACAAACAGACAAAGACGTAGACTTGATTCTTTATTTCATCAAAGATATAATGTCATACACTAAACCATTGTTCCAGGTAAGCCCCACCACAACAGAAAGCGAAAGAATGCCTACAGTCGGGGAAGCAACAAGGACATGACGTGGAGAGCTCAGAGGTCCAAGAGCCACAAGCCGCTGTTCCCATTCACCTGCCAGAAGGCAATGCCAGGTATTACCAAACACGCTTGTATGATTTTCTGATAACGTGAAGTGTCTGGTAAAGAAAGTGTCAGGTTTTCACAAACACTCTTGTATGACTTTCTGATAACGTGAAGTACTGGTAAAGAAAGTGTCAGGTATTCACAAACACTCTTGTATGACTTTCTGATAACGTGAAGTACTGGTAAAGAAAGTGTCAGGTATTCACAAACACTCTTGTATGACTTTCTGATAACGTGAAGCACTGGTAAAGAAAGTGTCAGGTATCCACAAATACTCTTGTATGACTTTCTGATAACGTGAAGCACTGGTAAAGAAAGTGTTAGGTATTCACAAACCCTCTTTTCTGAAGTGATAAAGAAAGTGTCAGTTATCCACTTTCTGATAAAATACTCTTGTATGACTTTCTGATAACGTGAAGCACTGGTGAAGAAAGTGTCAGGTATCCACAAATACTCTTGTGTGACTTTCTGATAAGGTCTTTCAATGGCATTTAGAAGTGATACACACAAGGAATGGATTTATTATGAGGAACACACGTTTATCCTTACTCCATCAACAGGTGAATGAATGGTATGAGGCAGAGAGCATATATATGTACATGTAAGAACAACAAAAGTAATAAGACAACAACGATGCAGGCTAAACTGTGGAAGCCAACTGGCGTTGATGTGTGATTGGTAAAGGACAATCAAGTGCTGCCTTCCATCTGTAAGGATATGTTTCCGAAACGTTGTGTTCTTCATAATAGGGGCGGTGGGGTAGCCTAGTGGTTAAAGCGTTCGTTCGTCACGCCGAAGACCCGGGTTCGATTCCCCACATGGGTACAATGTGTGAAGCCCATTTCTGGTGTCCCCGCCGTGATATTGCTGGAATATTGCTACAAGCGGCGTAAAACAATACTCACTCACTCACTCGTCATAATAAAGAAGTTGACAACTATCCATAAAACTCTCTTCCTAACTTTCTGATAACGTAAAGTTAAACGAAGAAAACGTTGAGAAGCCTCGTCAGCAGCAGTTCCAACCTGTTCCAAATATTTACCTGCTCAGGTAAATTGTGTGAATTCCTGGTGTTACTGATACTACAGTACATGTTTACCCTTTCCGGGTCATCACTGATTTCCATTGGTCCATTCGTATGATTTTGCACAGCTAAACCAAAACCTAAACCCTAACCCACCCTACACCCTAACCCTAACCCTAACCCTAATCGATAGGACAGTACATGTTTACCATGTTCGTGTCATAGCAGCTTTCCATTAGTCCATTCGTATGATTTTCACAGCTGCTTTGCCCTAACCTAACCCTAAACCCTAACCATTTTCGTATCATCATTACTTTCCATTGGTCCATTCGTATGATTTTGCACAGCGCTTTGCCCTAACCTAAACCCTAACCCAGCCTACACCCTAACCCTAACCCTAATGGATAGGACAATACATGTTTACCATGTTCGTGTCATCGCTGCTTTCCATTAGTCCATTCGTATGATTTTTCACAGCTGCTTTGCCCTAACCTAACCCCTAACCATTTTCGTATCATCATTACTTTCCATTGGTCCATTCGTATGATTTTGCACAGCTAATTTGTCGTTTACAACACATATAACCTGTTTCTGAGGATAGTCGAGACTGACGTTGTATGTTTACAGTATGCTAAAATCTTCAAGGCACGTCTTTGATTAACTAATAGGAGATACAAATGGGACTAAATGTATACATCTTATTCAGCTAATTGAGATGTTCTCTTAGGATAAGTTATATACTGTAAATAACCACTGTAATTCGGACATAAGGGTCTCGAAGCATACATAATCAGTTGATAGAGATGAGTGAGTGAATAGAGATTAGTGGTTAAAGCGTTCGCTCGTCACGCCGAAGACCCGGGTTCGATTCCCCACATGGGTACAATGTGTGAAGCCCATTCCTGGTGTCCCCCGCCGTGATATTGTTGGAATATTGCTAAACTCACTCATTCACTGAACACTATTCGTGTTACATCATGGCATACCAGCTGTATTTGGAGAAAGTCCGAAGGTGATGCAGGTGTCAGACGTTGGCCACGTTGAAGAAACCCACGGGTATGGCGCAGACAAACCTAGAAGCATAACCGGAACGAACATGGATTCGAACAAAGGTTCCAGGAGTGCCCAAGGATGAAACCTTGCACCGCAAATTACCGACACATGTGCCGTTCGCGCCCTGATTTAAAGGGTGACCACATTCCATTAGGTCTATGTTACAAAGGGCTAACCTGTGAAGATCCGGATTAGAATTGGTCTTCAGCAACCCATGGTTGGTGTAAAAGGAGGCCACCCGGGATCGAGTGGTCACTCTTGCTGACACATGGTATCATGTCCCATTTGCACCGATCGATGCTCATGCGGTTGATCACTGGATTGTCTGATCTAGACGGGTGTATTCGCAGACCGCCGCTATATACCTAGAATATTGCTTTGGTGTTAAACCACAATCCAACCAAATACAAAGGACGTGTTTATCCGAATACTTTTACAATATTGATTCGGAAAAGGGGTTTAACATTACGTTCAAGATGATTGCATCGTATAGCAAAGTTGTTTCCAAATGATACACATCATTTGAACTTCATCAATGTTCATTAGACAACATCCCATGCGTGGACCGACTGCCGAACTGTGAGGCAATAGTAGTGGAGTCGCCCGAGGTCTGTCACAACTACTCCGAGTCCGGCTGGGTGGAGCAACAATGTAGGAAGACGTGTGGAGCTTGCGGGGATATGGCCAGTAAGTACATGCAGGCAGTGATTCTTTATTTGTAATACAACCCAGGAATAATACACTAGAAGGTGTTTGGTTGGTTGCTTGGTTGGCTGTTGGTTGGTTAGGCATTAATCAATAATAAAAAGAAGATTTTTTTTATCGAATCCTTTCTGCATGGCTCGATGCTAATGATGTCAATTGCTGGAATGTCTGGCCAAGACTGATGATTTACAGGCCGCCATCATGTATCATGTGAATACCCGGGTTATAGTCCGTTTGGCTCAAAATCGGACCGATGAATTGCAATCTAACTCGAAAACTAATGAACATATAATACTCAATGAAACGCTGATCATAACTAAAACGTCAGACCAACTCTGTGAGGTTTTTGCAGAATTTATATCCTAAATATAAAAAAGTTGTTTAGCAAACTATCATTAAAATTGTGACACAGTTCACTATTTCGTACGAGGGAGGAGTGCAGAGAAAGGGACAGCCGGGTGTGCGAGAAAGGATGGAGACGGCAGAGCATAGGTTAATGAATCAATAACATGGTGGACACTGGCTGTGCACGTATCATTTTAATGATCAACTCTAGGATATAAATTCACAAACAAACCACAGAGTGGTCTGTCCCAGCGTTTCTCTGCAAGATTGCTGATGCGTCGCTTTTGACGACCAAACGATAAGGAATGTCATGTCATATTGTATTATGTTCTCAGCGTGTACGATCCCTGATCCCGGCGCTAACGCCCATGTTCTCACCGAGGGGACGTTGGAGACGGGGGAGGTGGCGTACTACGAGTGTGAGGAGGGGTACACAGTCAGCAAGGGCAGTCTGATGTCGGCGTGTCTCCCATCAGGCAAAATGAGCAGCGACCCACCTGAATGTGTCGGTGAGTGAGGAACATTGTCTAGGTGGGTTTCTGAATGAGCTGTTCCCGAAAATATTGGAAAATGTGTTGTGTACTTGGAAAAGTATTCACTGGACGTCCTGGTGTTTGGGCACAAAAATTGTGTTTTGCTGGTCTTTAATGAAAATACAACTGTATGTCGTCACCGTAAGTCACAAAACACGCACACGCGTGCGGACGCGCGAGCACACACACACACATCCATATTTAAAGGTTTACAATGTGAAATATACAAGCTAGCCATACATACACACGTTCACACACACACACACACATCATCAGATTTAAAGGTTGTTCAGTGTGAAATATGCCAGCTCGCCATAAACATGCGCGGGAGAGAAAACACACACACACACACACACACACACACACACACACACACACTTGGCTGCTCTTTCATGTAAGTAACCTCTGTCCTCGCACACTAATCTCACAATACGATGAGGATCTGCCTGTACATTAGCGTGCGGAGTACTAATACACTACTACACTGATACTTTGAGTCAACGTCTTAAAAGATGTCATCATTAAGAGATGTTTTGTATGTGAAAAAGCATTTAGAAAGTGGTCAAATATAAAATATGTTATATTTGAAATTTGCTTTCTCCGGAAGGTACATATTCTAGTACTTAAGTTGGGTTGAGTCCCATTCGGGATTCGAACCCCCACTCTCAAAGTAAGGGATCTAATCGCCAGCACACAGCGATCTAACCCACTCCGCCATCACGGCTTCATCTGAAGTTGACGTTATGCCCTGGCTATTAGATGTTCAGCAATGAGGACCTCATTCCGATTCCACCGTTCTCTCAATAATTTGTTACACCCTACAACTGTAGTATTTCACCTAAATCCGAGCAATAAACTGTTCTGCACACCTCTTGTATCGCAGCTTAAGGCGTGACAGAGGCTGTGATAGGCGCAAACTTTATCACGATACGGTTGACCAATAGAAATGAGGTTATATTACAAGGCCTGAATCATTCTTGCGTTTGTTATTGCAGAGAAAGGAAGTACTATAAGGCCCAGCAACAACAACGACATCCGACCTCGAGGCGGCACCTTCGGTTGCTACGTCTCCTTCACCGGCAACGACGACATGTACATGATCGATGCCCCCGGCAAGGTCATTGCCTGGGAGTTCTACCTTACGTTCGCAGGAACAGCAGCCTTTCAAATATGGCGGCCTACCGATGACCCTGCGACGTAAGTTGAAAACGTTCTTTATTTGTTTAACGGCGTACTCGGCAATATTCCAGCTATATGACAGCGGTTTGTAAATAATCTAGTCAGGGACTGACATCATGAGAATCGATTTACCAACATGGTCAACGATATCGACCACTGGTTTCCGGGTCCGTGAATCGCCTCTGGCGACAAGCGTGGGTTGCAAAAGACCAATAGCGAAACCGGAGGAATGAATACACGTCTTCAGGCAATGACACCGTGCGGCACACTCTGGCGATCAGCATGGGGTGCCAGGGACCAATTCTAACCGGATCGTGAAGAATGAATGATTTCCTTCAAGCAATATCAACTTGCTGGACATCCCAAAATGGAGAACTGAAAACTTTAAACCACAAGATTAATCACGATTATCGAAGATACCTCTTCTATGACTTCATCATTTCAAAATGTTCATTACATATTACGAATTATTTTGATTAGTATATGTTGTGTTATTCACTCGAAATACTGCATTACTTTACTGCAAGAAAGCCTGATCACTTACTATATATACACATTCCCTCGTAATAACCCATTAAAATACCTTCTTGAATGCATTTTAACTTAAATAACGTATTATGGGTATTTATTTACTCGGAATAACCCATTCATCTTCCTTCAGGAGTTCATTTTCACTTGGTATAACAATACATCCACATATAATTACGCATTTTTACTCTCCGTCATACCCGTAGAGATCCGGGTTAGAATTGGTCTTCAGCATCCATGCGTGCCGTAATTGCAGAAAGATTAGTGATATTCAGCCTTAGAATCAAGTTGATCTCTCGTTTTGTGAACCGTTCAATTAACTAATTCCTATTCGAACATGAATTGCACGTCGATCTGACCTTAACTCTCAGATCTAATATGGCACTGGAATCAACCTTCAGAACTATCCAACCCGAAAAGATCTGAGTTAGAATTGGTCTTCAGTCGCCAATGTTCGACATAAAAGGCGAGTAACCGTATTGGGTGGCCAGGCTCTCTTACTTGGTTGACACATGTCATCGTATCCCAGTTGCGTAGTTGGATGCTCATGATGTTGATCACTGCTGAGTGCAGCGTTGAACATCAAACAAAACAAACAAGCAAAACTTTCCTTCATGAGTATATTCACAGTTGGAATAACGTATTGGAAATATTCACGTGACGTTACGCGTTAACCACTCTTCTTGAAAACGTTTACCATTGAACAAACCTTCATTGGAAATTATACATTAACTTTCTCTAATAGGCATATGTTTGTTGTCACAGTTTTACCCTGGTTGGGCAGAATTCGATATCTGCTACGGCTGTTCGTCCCCACGTTGTCAACATTCCTGCTGGAGAACAGATTGAAGTTGAAGCTGGTGACAGAATAGGTAAGAATAATGTAATATTATAATACTGCACATTTAAAAAGCGCATGTATCCACGCATGTGTACGTGATTAAAGAGCTAAGACGTTAATGCGTCAGTTAACCCAAGCTGCAATTGAGGCGCCAGGTTATATGCAGTCATATCACTTATCCCACCTGGTACCCATTTGCTGCTCGGTGACCAAGGGCAATTTTGAAAACAACTCACTTATCTAAGGTGAGACCACGTGTCACGTTGTGGCTAGGACTTAAGTCCTAGAAACTCTCAGGAGTCAAGCTGCCAAACTCACACCACCACCAGGTATGCTCCACAGTACGGGTCTTGCTTGTATGTACTGTCATATTTATATGAACTCACAAGAAATTATACCTTTGAGTTGATTTTATCAAATGTTTGATTTTAGCAACAACTTATGTTAACAGAATTGTATTACAAGAAATACCTTGTTCTGGCGCTTAGTCCGAACTCAACCAATATTTGCAAATGTTGGGTCTGGGTTGTTATTTTGTATTATAAATAGAACTGGAATTTAACTTTCGGTTTGTATTGGCTGTCTTATACATCTTATCTGGGAAAATACACATATTTGCTATTTTTGGCACACATTTACAAATTTTCTGACAATTTAGGGTTCATTTGGTGGAATATATTTCTTACACCAGGTTTCATTGAAGTAGAACTAGTATATTTTCGTACAACATCACCCAACCACAGGTTACCTTTCACAAATTGTAGCAGGATTGAGTGAGAGTTACAAAATCGTTATAGAATTTAACATAAGTTCTTTCAGTTTTAATTACCAAACACTGTACACCTTTAAGCTTACCAGTTTAAACGCTCGTCACGCCGAAGGCCCGGGTTCGATTCCCCACATGTGTACAATGTGTGAAGCCCATTTTTGGTGTCCCCGCGTTGATATTGCTGGAATATTGCTAAAAGAGGCGTAAATCTAAATGTCCATTGTATAAGAATGAAAATCTATTTTAATTGACAAATGTAATGATGAATGTGATAATTTTAATGGTTTTAATGACAATCAAAAGTTATATTATGTCTTATCAAGCCCAAATGTTTGTTCTATTGCTGCCAAGACCTGTCATTTTATCCTCTCTAAACGTACATCTTATGTATATGCAAAAGCGTAGGTATATAATACTAAATTCAGCTTTATATTTTAATTCATTTTATTCATATTTCGTAACATATACCATTCTTTACAGTAATTATGTATCCTTATGCACGCTTTACAGAACTTTTTACATAACTCATTATAGGAGTGGCTCAACTTTTATTGATTTTTTTGTACTGAATCTATTTTATGCTGAGGTGAGACTCAAATAAGCAATCTGTCTGTCTGTCTAAACTCACTCACTCACCAGTTTATACTCCCAAGTTTTGAAATAACTTCGATACTTGGCATTGACTGACTTGAGTATAAATCTTTTTGCGGCTCATAAGACGCAAAGCGATTTGGGTGAGTCTCACAACCTTTCCAACAGTTGGGATTTATCATCAGCTTGTGTCCACCTGAGATGTCAATACCAGGGGCTGGGTGTGGTTGTTGAATAAAGATATTAAGGGGGTACCCATTTTGTACTGGGGTTGTCATCAATTTCGTCACATGTACTAGGAGAGTCAGCAAATTTGTACATAAAAATATTAAACATTATGCTAAAACATTAGGGGGGGGGGGGGGCATTGATTTTGTACATGACATGCAGATGTGGTCACTTACTATGCACATACATTTTAGGGGGGTCATTCACTTTGTACATGCTTCTCCACAAAAAAACAATCATCATCACCCCCCAAGCCATAAATTATGACGGTCCCTAACGGGATGAGGGGGCCAGGCCGACATGCATGGCATCGATTTATTCCCACTTTTGGCAGTCCCACTTTTGGCAGTCAATTTTCACACCTGGTTAACGAGCTGGAACAGTTGTCCCGGTTTTGGCAGTTTATGACTCACACCTCATAATTAGCCCTTAGACACCTCGTTAATGAGTCTTAATGGATTTAGAGTGAAGAAGAGAACAGAATAACAAAGAGTTTTATAGGTGATGATTATTTTATTCAGAATACATTTGCAAAGTATTTTTAATGTTCAATCACACCAGCCAGCACACTGCCACAAGCATTGGTGTTGGGGTGTTTGGGGTAGCGTCTTGGTTCTGTCCTTTGTCTTCGTATGCGAAATGCACAGGTTGATGTGTATTAAATCAGTTACTCGATACTTGACAGACCTACGCCATATTGAATATTGCCGAGTACAAATATAAATAACACACTAGAGTACTGTCGGAAATAGAAAAAACTGATTTTTCACACTTATATCTACTGACTGACTGACTGACTGAGTTTGGTTTTACGCCGCTTTTAGCAATATTCCAGCAACATCACGGCGGGGGACACCAGAAATGGGCTTCACACATTGTACCCATGTGGGGATTCGAACCCGGGTCTTCGGCGTGACGAGCCAACGCTTTAACCGCTAGGCTACCCCACCGCCCCACTTATATCTACAATTTACGTACCTGGCTGAGCAACCTAATTGCCATCTATAGTCTGATCTATTGTTTTCAGCATGTTTTATTACACATCCCACTGAAATCCCAGTTATGGGGGTTATTTCGACACATGCCATTTGCATTTGCAATTTTAGGGATACAGAGAAACAGCCTATAAACAGTTTTGTTTCTGTTTCCAACAGTACTTTAACACATTTCATTGATAAAATCTTGGCACATTTCAGGTGTATATAATCCGTATGAGCGAGCGGGGATAACCTATGACACGAACCGTGCCCAAGGTGAAGGCAGCCTTAAACTGGCCTCAAACGTGTGGTACGTCAGCGATTTCGTTATCAACAATGACTACGAGTTCAAAGAAAGCAGCCCGTTGAGGATCATGTCTTTCAGAGCTATCCTCGGACCCAAATAGTGAAAGGTGAGAGCTAGAACTGTATCAACGTATACATATATGGATGTAGATAAGCACCCCGTTTTGTATTTTGTTGCAACAATTATTATCAGCATACCACCTAGTGGTTCATAAACGCATGCTCAGGATAGTAGAGAGTACTCATGGATGTGACAGAATGTTTATTTCTTTCTTAAGTTTGATATACAATTATTCTATTCTTTTCTTAATTATTGTCCACGCTTTCAGACTATTTGTAAAGAATCATTATTGTCGCGAAGCTACCCACATTATGACGTCAGCAATCAAAGTCTAAATATTCATGTCATGTTTGTGTGAATGGCATAGACCATTTAAAAATAATTATTTACACGTGTTTCGTTTTGAAATTTATGAACCGACAATGAAGTACACTATTTATGTGTATAGTGTTTGAAATATTGGATTTTATTCATTTGGTATTGTTATTTTTTTGCAGATTCGTCTGACATGTATGTGTACGAACAAAGAAAGACCTCCGACTGCGTCCGAAATCGAACACGACCCGTCCACAACTGAACAAGTTTCGAAATTATGTTTTCTTTTCCTACTATCAGTTAGGATATATAATTACCGCTATGATGTGTGATTTCGGGCATATTTAAACCCATTATACAAGATATCATAGTTTTTAATACTCTGATATCAGCATTTAGTCCAGTCAATGAATGCATACGATGTATATTCTGTTAAGGAATGTGTCGGATTTTCATGCATTCTGATTAAGCTGAGGCTAATTTGATGTTGCACTATTTATGTTGTTGAGTATAGTGTTTTTCAATGCCCTTGTTTTATTTGTTTACTGTGGTTCTAAATACTTATGCAGCGATAAATAAACTTAATGCAAGCAGATCCGTTGTTGTTGTTTTTATGTTTTGTTTTGTGTTGTTTCAGTTTTTGTTTTCATGTGCGGAAAAAATAAAGTATTATAACGTTCTCAGAATGTGTCGCTTGTCACATGGAGACTGACAGGGGTCCCAGCCCCATCTTCGAACACTGCATGCGACAGTGATGATCGCTAGGTGGCATGCCTACACTATATCGAGACACCCGTGAAGATACGGGTTAGAATTGGTCTCTAGTAACCCATGCTTGTCGTAAGAGGCGACTAACGGGATCGGGTGGTTAGGCTCTCTGACTTGGTTGACACATGTCATCGTATCCCAGTTGCATAGATCGATGCTTATGATGTTGATCACTGGATTGTCTGCTCCATACCGCGTCCATATAGCTGCAATATTGATGAGATCGGTTTAACGAGACGGGGGCACCCTAACAGTTAACCGGTGCGAAGCGGGATTCAAATCCCAGATTCCTGTCGTGTCTCAAGGGACGAAACTCTGCACAGTGAATTGCTGCGTGACAAACGGGACACCCCTGCCTGGAGTGAGATCACTGTATGTTATATATGACACAAGACGACACTCACAATGAGTGACAGCAATATTCCAGCAATATTACGGTGGGAGACACCAGAATGGGCTTCACACAACGTACCCATGTGGGGAATCAAACCGGATCCTCAGCGTGATGAGCGAACGCTCAAACTACTTGTCTACCACACTGCCCCTGAAATAAAGAGGTGTGAACGAAAAAAACTTTTCACTGGCTACCGTCGTGCATCATGTTGACAAGCGGCGTGTTATATTTTTAAAAGTTCTCAAATATTTGCATTTCTTAAATAACCCAGTCTGAGACTTTATGTTGTGAGTAAAATATTGCTTAGCTTACACTTAGTTTACACTTAGTTTACGCTAAGCATACACTTAGCTTACACTTTACGTTCGCATTTGTTCGCCATCCTGAAGATTCTGTCGAGTTACTCGAAATTCGAGATAAAAGTGATATTCGATCGTTTTATCAATGATCACGGGAATTTTGCCTGGTCTGGTGCAGTCTCTATTGTTTACAGATTCCCGTCATATTGCTAAATGTTGCTCAGTGCAGCGTTTAGATTAACATCAACAAACAAACAAACAAATAATATCAACATTTTACCAATTAACAATCCTTTTATCTTTTACGTGGTACTGAGTGACTAAGTACCGTTGATGGTAGGTGACTACAAGTATTCCCCTACCGAAGCTTATACGCTATAATCACCTTGGATCAGTTAATGCAGAACACGCGTACTCTATTCGTGGATTGATTAATAAATCAATTATAAACAAACAAGTTTATCCAAAATCAATCAACAACAGGAAAATAAGCTTTTCTCTTTCTACTGGTTGGTTTGATGATGTCAATAAATAGTCGATATTATAACTGCCCCTCAGATATTGATATTGATTTCAAGTTGCGAATTCATAATTGAATAAAAAGGTAACCTCTCTGAAGTACTTTGTTCAGAGTCCTACTTTCACGCTAGGGCCATTGCAGCACTTACCATAATACAAGAAGGTCAATAGTCATGGTGAGATTCATTGAGCAACCACAAACCGATTCATCGTGAGTACTGTGACGGGCTTTGATTTCTGTTGGTCATTTGGGCTTCAGAAACCTTGAAGAAGGTAGAACCAACGGACGTGGTATCATGAAGACTCTGTTCGTGGTGTTCCTTCTGATGGCGGGGTGCTCTGGAACGGTCTTTCAGGGGCTGTTTTCCGGGGAACCATCTTGCAGAAGGGAACATGTGTTTGATGAAGTTATTGTCGGGATTGTACCAGTGTCGTCCCTGACGGAGTGCGTGTTGGAGTGTCTCGTATACCCGAAGTGTCTGTCCTTTAACTACTGCACGATTGACAACGTTACTGCCTGTCAACTCTCTACAGAACCCACAGACGGCACGTGTGATCAACTCAAGCCCAAACCTGGATGTAACTATTACGAGAAGGCAAGTAGTAATATTTACAAGGTACCATTCTAAGACCCGTTAAGATCCGAGTTGGTTTGTTTGCTTTTTTTAACGCCGCACTCAGCAATATTCCAGCTGTATGGCGGCGGTCTGTAAATAATCGAGTCTGAACCAGAGAAACCAGTGATCAATATCATGAGCATCGATCTACGCAATGGGGATACGACGACACGTGTCAAACAAGTCAGAGAGCCTGACCATCCAATCCCGTTAGTCGCCTCTTAAGGCAAGCATGTGGCGCTGAAGACCAATTCCAGCCCGGATATTTGATGGGTCTTAAGTAAGATCCTGGTCGTAGGAATAGGAATGGCATCGGGTGGTCATGCTTGCTGGCATGGTTGATGCTTGTCAATGTATCCCAAGGAATCTATTATTGAGATGTCCTTGTCATAAAATAGTAATGTTGAACACGACGTAAAACAAACAAACATTCACTAAGTTATATTTGATGAAGCGAAAAAAATAGCACATTGACCCGCCAAGAAACCACATGGAATTTTTAGTTTCTTGATTGCTTCGTTTTGTTTCAATTCCACGGTTTCCGGTCAGGCCTAGGGCATTTGTGTTGTTAAGACAAGCGTTTGTCGGTACATAAATATACATTGAAGCAGGTTATGTTAATAGGAACCAAGCTTTGCAAAATACTGCTGTGAAACAATATTCATTTGTACGTTCACAGTGAGTGAGTGAGTGAGTATGGCTTTACGCTGCTTTTAGCAATATTCCAACTTGTACACACATTGTACCCATGTGGGGAATCGAACCCGGGTCTTCGGCGTGATAAACCAACGCTTTAACCACTATGCTACTCCACCGCCCTATCCTTTTTACGTTCATAGTGAGTGAGTATGGTTTTACGCCTCTTTTAACAATATTCCAAAAATATTACTGCGGGGGACACCAGAAATGGGCTTCACACATTGTACCCATGTGTGGATCCCAACCCGGGTTTTAGGCTAACGCTTTAACCACTTTGCTACCCCGCCGCCGTTTGTAGGTGTTGGAACATATGAAACGTGAACCTTATTTCTGTGCTGCTGCGTAATATATACTCGAGTACATGTTTACCTTGAATCAAAGAGCTAGTCTTGTTTCTGTTGCATCTCCCCGTGTAGAATCTTCTTCAACCCATGGTTGTCAGGTGGGAACGGATGGTCAGCTTCGCTGACTTGATCGCCACAAGTCATCGAACCATAATTGCATAGATCGATGCTCATGATGCCAGAAATTGAATTGTCTGGTTCAGTTTCGATTCTTTTCAGACCGTGGCCCTGTAGATGACATATTGCACCAACAGACAAACAAACGAAATATATGTTACTCCAATGTGTTTTGTTCCAGTTGTGAGGATGATGGTCCCTGTCGACGTGTCAGTATGGTCTTCGTGTGTGACAGAAGGATGTGAGCACCAGGAGAAGGTATCGATAGTTGACAGTTGACGCTATCACCTGGATGTGGGAAACATACATCTTAGTAGCGTCTGTGTACATAACAGTTGCAATGGCAACAAACATGAAAAATAAAGTTTTCTATCTTTCGACAAACATTCAAAAATTAAGGTGTGATCATCAGTGAGACAGAACCGGAAGCGGAAGAATCCATTGAGTAGGTTCCTAGATGAAGTTTCATGTGTTGATCTTTAAACCCATGCGGGTACAGATGGTCATCAGTTGTTGATTGACGGTGACAACTCCGGTTTCGTATTCCGGGGATGTTCCTAATGTGCTTACGGTTCATTCACTTTATGGTTGAGTGGGTTTGAAGTTTAGCCTGGTTCACCCTTCAACATTCATAAACTGCCTTAATCAGTCTTATACATAGAATAACCAACAATATTGGTGTTACAATTTATATTTCAAGGATGACTGTAATATTAAAAATTTAAATTAAATAAATATTATGTTTAGCACATTCTTAAGCACATTGACAATAAGTTAAGATATTGTCGAGAATTTAACACATTTCACAAAGAAATAAGCTTTATGCTTTTGACACAGTTTTTAGAGTTTTCACAGAGAGCAATGCAGGATGTGGATTCCACTAAATACTTTTCGCGTACACGGTTATCAGTATTGCAATGATACATATAATACTGCAATCTTGTTTCTCTCAAAGATTGGCAAACAAATAAATCTAATTAATTGTATCAACTGTAAACACTCGCATTGCAGAAAAAGTCTAATTTGATAAAATTGTAAATTGTAAAGAGGAGATTTACAAGATATTTACAGTTTGTAAAGATGAAATTTACAAGATATTTACAATTTTGTAAGATGCAATTTACAAGATAGTTACAGTTTGTATATTTGAACTTAACAAAATTGTAAATTTTGTAAATCATGAAAAAATTTCTTGTGTGACGAGTCATTAGTCGGATGCGAAGACAGATTCAGTAGTATGCTGGATGTCAAGAGGTGGGTGTGTTACTACCCTCACTGTATTCCAAGGGGCAAACCTTCCACTTCTGTTTGTTTAGCAGGTAACACTTTACATACACTTATATAATTCAGACTAATGGAACACCTTTTGCTAGGGAAACCAGCGCTTACAAAACTATATGTGTATATAGTAGTCTGTTGATATACACGATGCAACAACAAGATATATTCAGTGCCTGTGGTAACCGATGGATAAAATATATATAGTTTTGTAATTTTAGTTACCTGTAATTTAGTGTTCTAGGTACCAACAAATACTCGTATACCGTTAATAAATCCTAACAACATGTCATTTGTCTTCAACAAAAGATCTGTCATGACAAATATTGTTAGATCTCAGACTGTTACTTGGAAAACATAAAAGTCGACTTGTTTCAAAAGCCAACCACAGTTATTATTACTCCGAGAAACGCTTGATTAAATAAGCGATATGTCAAGTGATCGGAATTACGAAGTGTCTTGTAATAATCACATTGTTGTGATTGATCAATGCTTTGATGTCAGTAGGCAATCAGGTGATTTTTGTTTAATCATAAAAAGGAAAGGATTTGTATCAAATACATTTGGTATTTTGCCCGACGTTGCCAAATCAATATTGTAACAAAATGTTTAACATGCAAGATGCCCATGTTGTTGTTTTACAATCATGCAAATATCAATTTAATATACGACTGATTTTCGTGTTAAAGAAAACAGGATGATCAAAGCAGATGATCTATTATTAAGACATCTGTTATTCCGATGAGTTGTTTAGGTGCATTATCATCATATTACATTTGTCCACGTTGGACAATACAGATAGCGAAAGAATTGGTGATACCATTAGAAACGGCGTATCTACTGATAAATTACATGCTTTGTAAGAATCCGTAATAAATGTGTTCCTGTTGTCATGGTTATCATGCTGGTTTTTTTCTACAAAATGCATGCGTGTGCACTCATGCATGCGAAAGATACCCAGAACTAATATCGACAATGACGTTCATATATCGACAATGACGTTCACTAGTCACGCCGAAGACCCGAGTTCGATTCCCTACATGGGTACAATGTGTGAACCCCATTTATGGAATATTGCTAATAGCGGTGTAAAACTGAACTCTGGTGGAGATTCATTCACTCATCCGATTTTAGACGTTAACCACGTTGGTAAAACCTTCTGGCACAGCTTTGGTGCTGATAAACTCACTCATATTCCGGTACGCGGAAAGATTCCTGGCAGACCTAAAGAAGTCAGCTCAGACAGCGAAATGATTGACTTCCTCTTGGGTCCACATATGCCGTAATTTTGGATCGCACGTGGTCACTTTCTGAAAGGCAACATGTATTCACAGCCTCGGCAATTTACACTTGTCAGATGAGTACACAAAGTATGTGATCTAGACTTCCATTTTCTGGATGCACGGTGGCTGAGTGGGTTAGATCGCTGACTTTGTATGTTGCCTCACTGAGAGTCTAGGTTCGATCCCGGATCTGACTAACCCCCAAACATACTGGAATCTATACTTCACCGAACACTGTTATCTCCGATATATATTATTAGTTTCTGTGAATATAAAGTCCTCCCTTGATTATATTCGTCATTGTCAGTAATCCCTGAGACAGTGAATTTGTGGTACATTTGTTGGACCCAGCTACACATATCCCTTTGTGCTTATTGTTTTAGCTACACTACACACGTAGGCGTTAATTAGCCAATCATGATGACGCATAACCCATTTTATTTTTCTGAGTGACATTTAACCGGTTTCATGTGAATGAATGAAACTGAGCCATGCCCATGATTGTGAGTATTCACTGCCGAGCAAAATATAGTAAACATTTTGGACATTTTTCGAAAACATAACGTTTCATTCACTGGAACGCTGAAAATGATCCAATACATCAAGAACAAAACAGCAATGATACCAATATGATACCTATATCATTTCTAGCCGCCATCAACAATGATCGTCACGATATGGCTGAAAAATTGTCGATGCGACGCTAAATATTAACTCACTCACTCATTCATTCACTCACATGGCGTGTATTTTCTTTTGCCCGGTAGTGTAGTATCCACAGGAAGCCACAAATGGCACTGTATCCCATGAAGAATACGGCGTTATCTGGCGCTGGTTCATTGACTGGTCCCTCGAAGGTACGTTGATCATGACTGCCTTGGTATGACATCTTCATAGTTGGTAGTTCAATGGCAAAATCATTTTGCTGCTTGACGTTCATTACAAAGCGTCTGTACCTTTGGATATCATGACAGGGACTAGTCCGATAACCGTCATATTTCAGAATAAACTCTATTTCCTTTGCCGCACCGGAACACGAACAGAACACCTGCCTGGAAACAAGTGGGAGAGTGAGTGGTTTAAGTTTTTAGAATATTAGCTTTGAATAATACTTCAGTTGTACCACATGGTGGCAGACTGATGTGGAAGGAAGGCCCGAATTGAGATATCAGGACAAACATATATTGAGGAGTCGGGAATTCGAACCAGAGATCAGAGGGTTCTGTCACGCTTGTTAGAGACGCAACACTGCACGACCTTACGAGCAAACCTTATTTAATTATTTGGTGTAACGGACCAAGAGCAATGATCAATTCGAATCTGGATTTATAACCGACAATCGCAGGTATATGTGGTCTTCACGTATACATTGTAGGGGACGCAACTCTGCCTTTGTACAGCGCCACATGTGACTAACAATGGAAGATACATGCATGATTGTTTGACTATTAAACTCAGTGAATCAATGTAGATTTACAAACTACTGACAATTAGTGAACGTTATGGTGAACTGAATATATGACTGTACAGGATTATTTATCTTCATATTACATCTTACTGATGCACAACGAAACGTTTGACGTTTGAACGAGAGCGGGAGACGTTATGCTGTATCAAGGATAACCGAATGGTGTGGCGGAAAGGGTGGGTATCTTCATGCCTGTTATGTAAAAAGAAATAAAGCTTCCAGCTACTTCAAAACTGTCTTTCACTTTCTGTAAAATTTGAACATGCCTTTGCCACGCTAACATGCCGCTATCAATAGAAAACATATCCATCGGAAAATGAAACATTGTAGAGATTACACTTTGAAATGGAGATAACATGTGTGACAAACAAAAGAACCCATCAAACAGACATAGATCAACCTAATTGCTGAAGCTTGAAGTAGAGTGTTTGTAACAAACTGTTGAAATGGCGATAAACAGTATAAGTGGTAAAAGTAAAACCCATAAAATGAATATGTGTTCCACCGCCCACGCCAGTAAGTGTGGTGTAGTTTAAATTGTCTAAAAAAACCAGACTTGTGAGTTCGAAAATATTGATATTAATATCTTTGCCTTTGAATATTTATATTGCATGTGGGGACTCTAGCCTACAAACGCTACCTTATTGACAACAGTAACTCATCTTTATTCAGCTATATTCAGGCCCTTTCAAAGGATCACGCGCGTTGGAATCGATGTTGAAATATTGTATAACTGTTATTGTGTACGTTTAAAAGCGTCAATAATTGATAGAATCGCCATTGTCGAGATGCCTTTGCATTTGTACATATAGCACAGGACACATGGATTATGATTCAACTCAAAGCCATAACGATCGATATATTGATTCAGATAGTTTTGAAGCACTGATACCAGATTAGATCTGAGTGTTTGGTTCAGATCGACCTGCAATTCAGCTTCAAATAGGAATTGGTCTATTGAACCGTTGACAAAACGAGGGGACAACTTGATTCAAAAGCTGGAAATCACTAAATCTTCTGAAATTACCACAAGGATGGGTTGTTCAAGATCAAATCTTCACGGGTATGGAGGAGAGTAAATTTACGCCGCTTTTAGCAATATTCTAGCAATATCACGGCGGAGAACACCAGAAATGGGCTTCATGAGGGGAAGCAAAGGGTGGAAATCACTCATGCTTCTGAAATTGGAAGTTAAGCCACTTGGGCTCACCCTGCAACCGTCTCCCCATGCACAAATAACACGACACGCCAATACATGTCAATCACAAACGTGGCGTGTCACCAACATGAAACACGCATGGCACACCACTACATGTCAATCACAAACGTGGCGTGTCACCAACATGAAACACGCATGACACGCCACTACATGTCAATCACAAACTTGGCGTGTCACCAACATGAAACACGCATGACACGCCACTACATGTCAATCACAAACTTGGCGTGTCACCACGCACATGAAACACACAAACGTGGCGTGTCACCAACATGAAACACGCATGACACGCCACTACATGTCAATCACAAACTTGGCGTGTCACCAACATGAAACACGCATGACACGCCACCTTATGTCAATCACAAACGTGGCGTGTCACCAACATGAAACACGCATGACACGCCACTACATGCCCTCCGGAACCAGAGACGTGCCATCTACGTGACAAACAGCTACATAACGTGCCCCATATACATGCCACACTAGTGAAACGCCACCTACATCTCAGATACACACACGCACACACACACACACATACGCGTCCTGCAGTTCAGTGACACATCATACATATCACACACAGAAAGACAGACAGAGACATGTCCTTCATTCCAGTGACACGCCTCGTACATCACACACACACACACACACACACACACACACACACACACACACACACACACGCACACATGCACACCTGTGACGAGCCACGTACATGTTACGCACGCCAGTTAAACGCTACCTCCAAGTCAAATTACATACACACGAGCCACACAAACAAAGTCACGTGTTAAGTGCTTTCTACCACATCCTTCAGCCACGTGACACCTACATGTATGGCTCCGAACACTGAGGACCAGAAACTGTAGTTGGGGAGGAGTTCGGCTCCTGAGGCCTTCCGTACAAACTTCTGGAAGATGACCCCTCCGATGATGTACAAGATCACACATCCTGATATTCTGAAGAATTAACATCAAGCATTTGTCATAACGTTTTCATTTCGTTGCAGGGACATTGTATGCTGCAACATTCTTTTTGAACAATCTGATACATCGTCAGCTGCTAAAAACACATAACGACATGTGTGTCTTGTCATAAATCTATGAATTTCGTAATCCTAATGTTCTCATTGTGTGTGAGTGCGTGAATTTAGTTTTTCGCAATATTCCAGCAATTTCGGCCACCAGAAATGGCTTTCACACATTGTACCCATGTGGGGAATCGAACCCGGGTCTTCGGCATGGAGGGTGAACGCTTTAACCACTGGGCTTCCCCAACGCCCTTCTCATTTTGTGGTCAAAAGATTATGAATACGGTCAGTGAGTGAATCCCAAATAGGCATTTTACTAAAGTATATGTTCAAGAGCTAAATACCTTTGGATTTAGGACTTCATCGTGACTGAGCTGGTCTTAATGCCTCCTTTGAAAGATATTATGTTTTACAGAGTGTCAGATGAAATAGATTAAAATGAAAATAATCTCTCAGTTACACTGATCGTACTGAGACTGTTAAACTGAAAAACACGAGTGAGCACAGAGGCCAAAGATCCTGGCACGACAAAGGGCCGCAACTCTGAACAGTATTGTTTTGAATGCATTATGGGTGCAACCTAAAGGAACATTAAGTGAACAACTTACGCAATTACTACAATGGTTCCAATGGAAACAGCACTAGGTCCCCCTCCCCCTCCGGTCCCAGGACACGCGTGCTTACTGTGAAGAGTTAAATACTGAAACAGGCAAACATTTGATGATACTCTTTGTTTCTATCATTCCAAAAAGTTAAAATTCCGAAGTACAGGCACCAAGAAATGAGACAATTCCGACCGGGTTGCAAAGGCACGAAATTGCCCTTTTTTACCTCTTATATTGGAAAAGCTGGCATTCTGGAAACTGTGCCTTCCCGAAACGTCCCGAACGATCAATACTGCCTTGTCAAAATCAAAGGGACATAACTCCATTTACAATATTGACACAACTGCTTTAGACTTTTACTATCGCTTCATTTACGTCCATTGACAATCCCTACAAATAAGCTTACAACGTATTTCATTTACACATTACACGTTACTGTAAAATGTAGTGTTTACGTACATATTGCTGGCTCCCGGCTGGAATTTCCCCCTTCACGTCAAGTTTACCGGTCTCCATTTTGTCACACTTCAACGTCACAGAGAGCGCTCTATTAATTGAAACATTATCAGCAGTGAGTGATTGAATATCACGGCGGGGGACGTGAGAAATGGTCTTCACACATTGTATTCATGTAGGGAATCAAACCCGGGTCTTCGAAGTGACGAATTACGAAAGCTTTAACCACTGCACTACCCCAACATCCCTGACACATTATCAGTAACGGACATTGGATGCCATGGATGCGTCAACAACAAAACAGTTAAAGTGTGTTCGCTCTCTATCCTCATGGGAAATACCATGAATGAGTGAAAAGAGTTTTATTAAGCTTTCAGCAATATTTCAGCAATATCACGATGAGGAGCATGAAGAATAAGGAATCGAATCGGGGCCTTCGGCGATATGAGGTGACGATTTAACCATATTACGGGCTCACTTCGCTCAACCCGAATCCAACGGGTTAACTTACTTTGTTACCCGTGAAGGTCCGGGTTATAATTGGCCTTCAGCAACCCGATTTTTCTCGGTAAGAGGCAACTGTCGAGATCACAGGCGCCCAGGCTCGCAGACTTGGTCCACACATGTCATTGTGCTTAGATCGATGCTCATTGTGTTAATGACTGGATTGTCTGGTTCAGACTCGATTGTTTACAGACCGCCGCCATATAGCTGGAATATTGTTGAGTGCGGCGTAAAACAACAAACAAACCAACAATAACCTACTTCGCCCCGTCTGTGTACTGAATCTGAAGACCATCTGACACGTCATTTATAAACTGTGCAGTGTCCTGCTTGCCAATACTCGTGAAGTCTCCACTATTCGTGTCTTGCTGACAACCCTGAAAACAGAAGCGAGGCAATCCTGTAAGAGACCTTATCGTCACAAAAAACTTAATATGTCTGAACCAACCATAAACCTCAGTGTAATGGGTTCGGTGTAATGGCATAAGTGAGTAAATTGTACTTAAAGCCACTTTCAGCAATACCCCAGCACATCACGGCGAAGGAGAGTAGAACTTCACACTCTGGCCGATCGAGCCACTGGCCATTTTAAGCGGTTGTTTAAAGGGGTGTGGAAGATCCTCTCTTGACTGCACGTTTAGGTTTAAGTACATCTCTGCATGTCAGTGGTACTTACACATGGAACAATACTGTGTGGTATTACGCCATCATGCAATATACATGTTATTAAAAGTAGCGTAGACCCCAAGTCACTCACGAGGAAGGTTATGAGTGAGTGGCCAGATGAATATGGTTTTACGCCGCTTTTAGCAATATTCCAGCAATATCACGGCGGGGACACCAGAAATGGGCTTCACACATTGTACCCATGTAGGGAATCGAACCCTGATCTTCAGCGTGACGAGCCAACGATATAACAACTAGGCCACCCCAAGGAATATAATGAATTACACCATGACACTGGACACCAGAAATGGGCAGCACATATATTGAAGCACCAATACATTGAATAGCCCGCTCCCAAGCTTCAGAAGCAAACTATTTTAACCAATGAGCTGGAAGGACCCCGTCCCCCTTCTTAACACGCCCAGACACAGACACGCACATGTACAAGGTCACGCACCAGCACACACGCATTAACACAGAGAAACACGCAAAATCGCACGCACACACTCACTCACGCACGCACGCCTGGTAATGAAATCCAGGGCCTAGATGTTCGAAGCTCTCTTAGAGCTAAGATAGTGTTAAGTTAATGCTAATGTATGGCACTTAGGACCATCTTAACACTAGGAGAGCCTCGAAAATCTAAGTCCAGTACTTTACCGCGACGCCAATGCAGGTGCCCTCTGTAAATGGGTGACATGGGTTCCAGGAATACTTGTAGTAGCCAGCAGAGTCCAACAGGTCAGAGAATCTGAAAGGAGGCAACACTATGTAAGAGTTTTTAGGTATCCATTCTGCAACCAAAGCTCTTACTGCGTCCATAACGAGGTGTAAAAACACCACGATGTTTCCGATGAGTATATCTTAATTTATGTCAGAAGATTTGTAATGCGTTAGCCAAAGGTTTGACATTCCATCATCTTTGCTAAAAAAATAATCAATAACACCTGCAAATCCGAAACACTTAGCACATATTTTTTAATTTTTGCAGTTCTTATATGCACTATCGTTGCTACGACATGACGTCACATGTAATTTTATGACGTCATGATGACGTTAAATGACTGACGAATCCGGTTGGCAGGTACAAAAAAAGAATTGAAATAGTTCTCATAAATCCTGTTCAATCGTAATAGAAAAATGCTCTATGCTTTCTGCAAAGCTGAGAATAGTTTTTTTTCGGTATATGAGCTAAGAAAAAATATTTACAAAGGAGATTATTGGTGTAAGGCCCGATTTCTTGCCCTTTCTAAGGATGTTTTTGGCAATTCAACGCTATTTGCTCCATGGCAATGGCCCGCAGTTTTATCTTCCCTCGTATCTTTGTATATTACATTGATACGTATATTCGCCGGCTTTAACAACACGAACGAAAAACTGATTTCTTCGGTCCTATACCGAAACTTTCTAAGTATTACCTTCTGCCTTTCGTCTGCAAAAGGTCAATATTAAGCATAAAGAGGGCCCGCCATTTTTTGTATCAGTCACCTTTCGTGCATTTAAATCAGTGCAGCGCAAATATTAAGAATAAAGAGGGCCTTCCTCTCCTTATATCAGCCATTTTGCAGTAGTGCCCTGTAAGTGCCCTGTACCCTTCTTGGCAAGAACGACATCTGAATGATGAAATGTCGCTCGCTCACGTTTAGATTAACATTTTCATCGCAAATTAGAACTTTACGTACTTTTTATGACGGAAAAGGTTCGATTACGGCTTCTTTTATATGTAAATATACTTCGGTATATGCCACATATTTGCTGTTATTCCAAATCTGGTTTCAAAGTAACAGTACTTTACTATGCAAGCGAATGGAGATCGTTGCTCGTCTACCTCACATTGATCTTGGGGAAATATTAGAGTACACGAAAACTAGCGCACATATCTTAGAATAAATCCACAACGATGTTTAATATAGTGATGTCATCAAATTCTGAAATTTTAAACCAAATTCTTGATATTCGACTTATCCAGTATTCTCGATTTTGCATGATTCTTACGTGGAGCTGTACTTAAGTAAAATTCCTGATACATCGGGCCTTGTAAAGTGCTTCGTTTTAATGACTACATGTAAGTGTCATTTGTTCTGTTATCTCTTTGAGTACGTGAGTTTGGTTTTACGCTGGTTTAGCAATATTCCAGCAATATTCCAGCAATATCACGGCGAGGGGAACCAGAAATTGGATTCACACTCTGTTCCCAGGGAATCAAACCCGGCGTCACAAGCGAACGCCTTAACCACTAGGCTATCCCTCAGCCTCATTTGTGTATGTGTTTTAGTGATGTCCGTATTCCATGTTACGTGCTACATGTGAGCGTGTGTGTCTCTTACGATGTAAGATAAATTTGGGACATAAAAATATCAATCAATCAATCAATCAATCACACGAGATCCATATGAAGTGCGGTACAAACAAATATGAATATAATGTTAGCATCACAGTACTCACGCCGCTGTGTTGTCGGTCTTTGCAAGGGGCGCGAGATCGATCAGTCCTTCTGAATTCCGACATGAGCAGGAACTCACCTTATGACATAGTTCGGCTGAATTACATAGACCTAGGATGGTACTACACAATACTGACAGTACAAGAAAATTATACATATTCAAGCGGCCTGTCCTTTCAAACTGCATTGTACTTGCTGGGATCAAAGGTATTGAGATCGCAGGGGCTATGTTATCTGGTGTTATCACTGATGTGACGGCAGCCCACTGAGCGTTATCACACACTGTTACAGGACGGGTTAACGATTGAGTGGCTGCTAGGCGAGTGTTTTTGTTTGATTGTTGTTTTATGCCGCACTCAGCAATGTTGCTGCTGTGTCACTTCGGTTTGTCAATAGCCGGGCCGCATCATGAGGATACGATAACATGCATCAGCTATTTCGGCGAGTGTGATCTCTCGATCCCGTTATTCGGCTTTCACTAAAGACCGGATCTTCATGAGTGAGTGAGTGAGGTAAGATTTTAAGTCACATCGGCAATATTTCAGCCATATCGTGACTAAAACAAGGTATAGATTTATAATGATTAAAAATTGAATTATAAACACTTGTCAACGAATGGCAGTAACACAACTAGATTATCACAGATATATATTTAAAACTAGCAATTAAATCTACAACAGTTTAACTACAGAGGACGATACAATATAAAAACGGGCTATAGATCGCCAACAACTGAAGGTAGATTACCATACTAGGGACCATGGGGACTTACAGTACCTTTGCTACCTGCATGGACCCTAGTTGGACTTACACCATTCCTTCAGCTGCTGGCGATTGTAAGAAATGTCAGCCAAAATTAAAATAACCAGAATACTACGTTTAAAAATCCTGGTAAGTTTAAATTGACTTAGGAGTGAGTGAGTGAGTGAGTGAGTGAGTGAGTGAGTGAGTGAGTGAGTGAGTGAGTGAGTGAGTGAGTGAGTGAGTGAGTGAGTGAGTGAGTGAGTGAGTGAGTGAGTGAAATACCTCAGCCCTTTATCTTTGCTCTGACCACCGCTACACCATCAACATGTTTCATGAGGAGATAGATGCGGGGCACCAGGTATGTTAACTGTACATTGATCTGGGACAAGGACAATATAAGGACAATTTCATGATTTTATCAGCTTTTGATTGCCATTCCTTTATCCTCTACGAACTTTCAGTGACACTATTGGTTTTACGTTACATTGTGTTCCAGGAATAGCCAAACGGCAGGGATTTTCATCAGAGTATTATTCTGTCACGTGGACATTCCGCGGAAAATGCCTCTCACATAGTGATTCCTTTTTGCATAAGAACACTACCCATGTCACAATACTAGCTTAGGGAAATGTCCGGAATTTTGTTACATGAAACAACAAATGTTAATTGAATAAGTATGGCTGATGAAACTTGGGCAGCCAGGGCATGTGTAACCTTGTGGGTGGGAAACTGTGCTTCAAAGGCGCTGATCAATGGCTAATGTTTTGTACGCCAGCAACCAATATTTTACGGCTGTTTCCAAGAAACATAAAATGCTATTTCAGAATTTTCTTTCGCCTTAGAAGATAACATACTGTTTCTATGTTTTGTTTCTTGAACACTTTCATCGAATTCATTTTTATATCGTTTGTTTATTGTCTAACTCCAAACTCAGCAATTTTGCATGCAAATAATCGAGTCTGAACCAGACAATCCAGTGACCGGGATCACGAGCATCGATCAACGCAATTGGGTTACAATAACACGTTTTTATATCAGCATCAAGGTCCACATCTATCTATCTATCTATCTATGGAAAAACCTATATAGCGCCATATCCAGAAATAAACTGCTCTGCAGCGCTTGAGACTCTGATGGAAGGTTAGATGTTGTATGCTTCACGGAAGTAATGAGTCTTTAGCTGTGATTTGATTGAGTCCAGGTCGTGGTTAGATCTCAGGTGTTGTGGGAGTTGATTCCACAAGTTTGGTCCGGCAGTTTGAAAACAACGGCTGGTGATGCGACTGGTTTTTAGTGCAGGTGGCTGAAGGAGAAACTGGTGAGAGGATCGAAGAGATCTGACAGGTTGATATCTGGTTATCATGCTGGAGAGATACTGAGGGGCTTGATTGTGGAGACACTTGAACACAAGCAGGACAACTTTGTATTTGATCCGCTGCGGCACTGGCAACCAGTGTAGATGTTGGAGAACTGGTGTGATGTGATCATGTCTCGTTGTTCTTGTTGCGACTCGGGCTATACATCGCCGTATATAACCAATAATTTCCAATACATGTATAGCTGGTTAGCAGCTATCGTAGGCATTTTGGAAAAGGGTTTATTAGGGATATATATGTGCCGTTGAAACTGACATCCAACGATCGAGGGGAGATTACCAGCGCCTTGAGCAAGCACTAGTTGCCTGGATATTTGCGCTATATAAATATCATATAATAATAATAATAATATTCCTTGAGTTATGTAAATTGAATATCTCTCTAGGTAAGGACACGGCTGTCAATAGAAAGGTAATCAACGCAACTTGACCATTGTCATCATGGCCACCAAGACAGAGTCATTTGCAAATTAGCTGCCTATAATATCACAGTTAGGCAATGGCCGGTTGGCCACTGAAGCAAGACATTGTGGATGAGGCGCTGGCCGATCACACATCTGTCACAAATACGACACGTGACAGTCTGATCAGGATTCGATCCCTAGGGAGAAATAGATAATGCTTTGTGTTAGTCGACTTGACAGCGGCTAGGTAGGTTGGCTGACCATTGCCTCCCGAAATGCCGCCTAGCCCTTGTTATAACACCATGTAGCTGTACAAATTGAATTACGAATAAAGTGTCGTGGACCCACTGATGGACTCTTGTATTCAAAGAGACAGATCTCCCTTCTAAACAGCCCGGGATACAGCTGAATCAGCTGAAGTATTGCCGAGTATTGTGTTAAACAAAGAAACAAACAACAATGAACACCGACGTAGGACGCCGTCATTTCATTAGATTAAGCTTGACTGTGATATTATATTTTAATAACAATAATGTTCTTTCATTTACCATTTAGAACCTAGCCTTTCCTCGACATAATATCAAAGGGTTCATATTGTAACGGAACACCCTTCATATTGTACTTTGTTGACACCAGTGAGATCTAATAACGTCCAATAACCCAATCAACTGATGAACAGTTGCTTGCAGCCCATGGTCATGGGGATAAATGTGTTGTTATTATGTTGTTGTTATCATGTTGTTGTATAAAAGAGTTTTCTGTATTGATAAATGTCATTAAAGGATAGTATTGCCTCGTATGAGTGAGTGTGTGAGTTAGGTTTATGCCTCTATTCGCAATATTCCAGCAATATTATTACAGGGGACACCAGAAATGGGCTTCACACATTGTACCCATGTGGGGAATCGAACCCTGGCCTTCGTCGGGATGAGCGAACGCTTTAACCACCGGTATCCCACCTGCCCTGCCCCGTGTGAAGTGTTATACCGGTGGGGCAGGCTATGCCCAGACTTTCGCAAACACCTGGTGTCATCCAGTTTGATAGTGATCCATAAACACCTGGGCCCCGTTTCACAAAGCTCTCGTAGGCCTAAGATCTCGTAAATTTTCTCGTAGCATTCGTACCTCCTATGTTACAGTATAGGAGGTACGAATGCTACGTGAAAAGTTACGAGATCTTAGGCTTACGACAGCTTTGTGTAACGGGGCCCTGGCTAGCTATTCTCGAAACGTTCGTAGCCCTACGAACTTCTTAAGCCCATTCTTAACACATTGGCTACGATCAAAGTTAAGAATTCTTACAGCTACGAACGTTTCGAGAATAAGGACACTGCTCACGATAAAGTCGGAATTGTACATTCGATTCTGCTTAGCAGAGATTTCTTGTGAATGTGCAAATGGTTTCGTGTGACAAAACGTTAGGTAAATGTACCTCATCCTGTCCCGTTTGTTTCTGCCAAAATATTTTTTGAATTTCAACTTTTCGTTTTTTCCGTCTTGTTTCTTCTTATCCAAGACCGCTATCGTAACATTGCGATCTTTTTGTCGGTGAGTTCCTACTTGTCCAGCAGTCGGCCAAGGCAAAACCTTCATCGTGTTTAATGATTTACATCTTGACTCGGGGCAATTAGGCAGACACAGTTCTAGAGGAGTCATCTCATGCATAAACATTTACCTGCTGATCAAAGCGTTCGCTCGTCACTGGGTTCGATTCCCCAGATGGGTACAATGTGTGAAACCCATTTCGGATGTCTACTGCCGAGATATTGCTTGAATATTGCTAAAGACGGGATGAAACCAACCCGCTCTCACTAACATGCTAAACATTAAAAGCATGTTTTGTTTCATTACTATGGCAGATTCAGTGGTTTACGAGGTAATGAAAGTCACAGAAGATGCCAACGAAGCAGATGGAAAACTGATGGATAATGACTAGTGAGACATCTCTGATGGGATCTGTGAGAGGTCCATTCATCCATTCAACTGTGACGACAGTTTTGATAAAGGTTTCGAATAGTACAAGACACACATGCTCTAGAAACTAAGCCTTTATTTGGTGAGCATCAGCCATTACACGAGAACAACGTGGAATACAGACCCGCTATCATCTTAAAACTGAACATTTTCAATTATCATAACTTTAAATAATTCGTCTTCCATTTCGTAAAGCCCGAGAAATATAAACCTTTCGACACATGCCATCCGTACAGTGAATGTTTCAGGAAGATGTAGACTGTTCTCATTATACCTGAACAGTGCACGTGTGTCCTATCTGCCGGCAAGAGCAGCGGCAGCCAGAGGGACCTCCGCTATGTCATACATCAGGGCACCCAGGCGGTCATTTGATTGCACACAGCGAGTTTGGAGGAGTCTTCCGGCCTCGAACCTCCTTCCCTTGTCTGAAAGGATCATTAACTGTGTCGACGGGTTCATCTGAGATTGCGGTGATCCAGGAAGCGCTGACAAAAAGATACATATATTTGAAAATGTGTTGGAAGAAGGATATTGATTCTCAATGATTACACACAGGATCGTAATGCGTGATTCGGGTACCGCTAAAAATATGAAAACATTTATGAAGAAGGGTATTATGCGAGTACTGGAAGAAGGATATTGTTTCATTGTAATTAAAGAAAGGATCGTACAGCGTGATTCAGATTCCGCCCAAAATATGGAAACTTTTATGAAGAAGGATACTATGCGAGTACTGGAAGAAGGCTATTGATTCTCTGTGATTACACAAAGCATCGTAAGGCGTGATTTAGGTACCGCTCAAACTATGAAAACATTTGAGTGAGTGAGTGAGTTTAGTTTTACGCAGCACTCAGCAATATTCCAGCTATATGGCGGCAGTCTGTAAATAAGCGAGTCTGGACCAGACAATCCAGTGATCAACAGCATCATCGATCTACGCAATTGGGATACGATGACATGTGTCAACAAAGTCAGCGAGCCTGACCACCCGATCCCGTTAGTCGCCTCTTACGACAAGCATGGGTTACTGAAGATCAATATTCTAACCCGGACCTTCACGGTTCGGATCCTGGAAGAAGGATATTGATTCTGTGTAAGTAATATGAAAATATTCACGAAGAAGGATCTTATGTGAGTACAGGACGGCGTATATTGTTTCCTTCTGTGTGGTGTTCCAGCTAACAAAATGACAAGGTACATTCAAAAGGATGTTTTGCGAGCACTGGTAGAAGGATATACTGTATTTAAATAAGTAAATAATGTGTTTGAGAACTCAGAGAATGACAACAAGTGTCTTTAGCGCTTTTTGATGTCATGTTTCGGTGGCACCTTCTTCAGGCAGGTATCAATGTCCAATTTTGGGTTCTAAAAGTTGTGTATTTTTGGGGGGAAATCGAATCTTGTAAACAGGCTACTTCTTTACTTCTACCTCATCACATACAGGTGAGCTGGACTGAGGTGATGTTTGAATACTGTTTACCAAGACACCAACCCAAACCCAAACAAACCAAGCCATATTATCCCGGACCTATGTTCTGTTTAAAATGTCATCTTTAAACGATGTCTATAAACAGTGTAACCTTCATATCCCCGACACCGTTAATCTGGAAACACCCTATTCCGGAAATTCGTTAATTAAGACGACTTAACTGGATTAAAGTGAGTGAATGAGTTTAGTTTTACGCCTCTTTTAGCAATATTCCAGCAATATCACGGCGAGGAACACCAGAAATGGGCTTCACACATTGTACCCATGTGGGGATTCGAACCTGGGTCTTCGGCGTGACGAGAGAACGCTTTAACCACTAGGCTACCCAACCGCCCCACCTTGATTAAGAGGTTTCATGAATGTATGAAGATGAGGATGAGCTCCCCAAGTGAAGTTAGGAATGACGAGTGTCTTACGCAGTGGTTTCATGTCCATGTAGTCCATAAGGAGGTACTTTAATACTGGGTTTCCAACTACACAAGGAATGTTCTGAATTGCGTCGAGGGCTGTCATCCGTTTGGTGTAGTCACTTGATAGTACCGCCTGGGACACAGCCATCCTCCGCATAAACTGCATCCCGGCCGGATTCGGGGAGGACGCCGGTTGTTCAAAGAAGCCCGGGTGGGCTGGAAGGGACCTTGAACATAAATGACCCATTTAGCACCTCACGTACACATGGTTCATATTATTAACAATAACAGGATTTCTTTATCTCAAGTTTCGTCGCCACATATAGAGGATATTATATGAGTGCCCATGTCATACTATGTTTACGACACGAGTGCCTAAATGTTGGTATTTCCCGAGCGAGAGCGAGGGATATACCGATATTTAGGCACGAGTGTCGTAAACATAGTATGAATAGGGCACGAATATAATATTCTGTTTATTACCGAAGTCGTCAAATTGAGGAAAATAATCCAAATCTACTTTCAAACATAGGCTGTCTACCCGCCGTCGCCGCATGTAGAATGTAACGTCACAGAAGAAACGTGACGTCATAGCATTGTTCTTGACGTCACGTCACCATGACAAAGTGATATTTTGCCCTAGGGCATCGTTTGAAAAATATGAACCCCGATATTTTCGCCCTCGTAGGTAGTAAATATTTGTATGCCTTGATGTTTCCTTTGCACTCATAACATATACCCACAGCAGCCTAATCTTGCTAGATGAACATTTATAAACAAAGCATTTCCGAAGCTAAGAGACTCGATCTTCATCACAAATGAACCAATAGACGAACTGTTAAGTTTCATAAATTTCAATTTCAATTTTCAAAAGTTCCACATTTAGTGACAAGCATTTTGGTTTTTTACTTTCCGTATTTGTGTTTAGTTCTTTCTTCCGTCCAATCTCATGCCGGTTGAGTTTGGAGACGAGAAACACATACAAATAATACGGATAAAGCTAAGAAAATTGTATAATTCGTTTTTGATAGATTGTAAGGAATATTAAATGTTTGATGGTAAATATATTGTGTGCCGTCTCACCTCGTAATGCAGCACCTGACGACGGACCTGTTGGAAGAAATTGCGGACAGGTGAAGAATTGTACAATGCCATACTGTAGAATCCTCATGCTAATGTGTATATTTTAATGCACCATCTACAGGCTAAAGTATGCTAAACGCGTCATAATGGAGTGAGGTTCATTTTCATTCTCAGCTCCTCACGGAGTATACAAAGCAAGCTGCCTCTGATACTAGATAAACAGTGTCCATCTCTATCCACTTGATACCAACACGCTTTACTGAACTGAAGTTTTATTTACACTCCAGACGCGTTCTGAGGTAAAAGGTACATGTTTACCGTGAGTGAGTTTAGTTTTACGTCGCACTCAGCAATATTCCAGCTATATGGCGGCGATATGTAAATAATTTTTCTTCCGTCCAATCTCATGCCGGTTGAGTTTGGAGACGATAAACACATATAAATAATACGGATAAAGCGATTTTTTGGGGGGTATAATTCGTATTTGATAGATTGTAAGGAATATGAAATGTTTGATGGTAAATATATTGTGTGCCGTCTCACCTCGTAATGCAGCACCTGGCGGCGGACCTGTTGGAAGAAATTGCGGACAGGTGAAGAATTGTACAATGCCATACTGTAGAATCCTTATGCTAATATGTATATTTTTTATGCACCATCTACAGGTTAAAGTATGCTAAACGCGTCATAATGGAGTGAGGTTCATTTTCATTCTCAGCTCCTCACGGAGTATACAAAGCAAGCTGCCTCTGATACTAGATAAACAGTGTCCATCTCTATCCACTTGATACCAACACGCTTTACTGAACTGAAGTTTATTTACACTCCAGACGCGTTCTGAGGTAAAAGGTACATGTTTACCGTGAGTGAGTTTAGTTTTACGCCGCACTCAGCAATATTCCAGCTATATGGCGGCGATATGTAAATAATTTTTCTTCCGTCCAATCTCATGCCGGTTGAGTTTGGAGACGAGAAACACATATAAATAGTACGGATAAAGCGATTTTTTGGGGGGTATAATTCGTATTTGATAGATTGTAAGGAATATGAAATGTTTGATGGTAAATATATTGTGTGCCGTCTCACCTCGTAATACAGCACCTGGCGGCGGACCTGTTGGAAGAAATTGTGGACAGGTGAAGAATTGTACAATGCCATACTGTAGAATCCTTATGCCAATGTGTATATTTTTTATGCACCATCTACAGGCTAAAGTATGCTAAACGCGTCATAACGGAGTGAAGTTCATTTTCATTCTCAGCTCCTCACGGAGTATACAAAGCAAGCTGCCTCTGATACTAGATAAACAGTGTCCATCTCTATCCACTTGATACCAACACGCTTTACTGAACTGAAGTTTTATTTACACTCCAGACGCGTTCTGAGGTAAAAGGTACATGTTTACCGTGAATGAGTTTAGTTTTACGCAGCACTCTATATCGCGGCGATCTGTTAATAATCGAGTCTGGACCAGACAATCCAGTGATCAACAGCATGAGCATCGATATACGCAACTGGGATACGATTACATGTGTCAACCAAGTCAGCGAGCCTGACCACCCGATTCCGTTAGTCGCCTCTTACGACAGGAAGCATGGGTTACTGAAGATCAATTCTCACCCGGATCTTCATGGGTCGTGCATATTTACATCGTTATTATAGACAACTTATATATGTTAAATGCATGTATACACAAAATGGTAATATATATAGATCGGTTGGCTGCAAGAATAAACTATGTCTGTACATGCATATAACTGTTTACATGAACAATGTTAAACTCGAATGATATTTATCTTCTTCTTTTTGGGGGGTGTTGCTTAAATAAAGACATTATTCATTTGCGAAATATTGTCAAACGCCGGAATTTAAGTAAACTACAGTTCACACACTCTATCTGTTAGTACCTGGATAGGTTTGAGCCCAGACGGAGACAAGGAGACATGCCAGGGTGAATAACCACGCCCGCATTACAGGAACCATCTGTGAACAAACATAGCACACTGGAAGAAAACGTTCTAAAATGGTCCGTGTTTATGTGAATATAGAAACAAATACTTAAATGTATAAAAGATTATTCATTCGCATATAAAGACTGAGGCTTCCTTTTTTGTTTAACGCCGCATTCAGCAATATTCAAGCTATATGACGGCGGTCTATAAATACTAAAGTCTGGACCAGGCAATCCAGTGACGATGAGCATCGGTTTACGACATAGGGATACGGTGGCATGTGTAAACCAAGTCAGCCTGCCTGAGCACCTGATCCCGTAAGTTGCATCTTGCGACAAGCATGGGTTACTGAAGGGTTGCTAGTTATCCTACCAAGGTAGGATAAAGGACCTTCTGATTCATATTTGCGGATATGTTTTTAATTATTGGCTGAAAGTAGTGATGGTTGACAAACCTCATTTTTATTTCTTGAAATTGCAACTTGTTGACTTTGGACATGGTCATATATATTGAAATGGTGATATGAGTGAAAAGGGGAGAATTGTAGAAATGAAAATGAAATTGTACATAGTTACATCATTTGTATATCGTTGTAACACTTGATAACACTTTACATAATCATTTACAAGATGTAACAGTATGCATTTCTGCCAAAGTCAGCCTGAATTCTTTTCACGATAACGAGAAAGGACCTGGAAGCTGTAAGTGACTCAAACAAATTTTCAAATATGGGTGAACATTTGGATTAACAGTTTTAAATTTTTAAATAATTGTTTTTCCTGGATTTTCAATGTGGGTTCATTTCAGTTATCCTTAACTTAAGATTCGTGGTCAGAAAAGGTGATTCGTGTTTCTTGTGTAACATGACAGGGCGATCACGTGGCCAGACTCCGTGAATCTAATTAACATCAAATCTTAGTGCTCGCTACAGGTACACGCACATGATCATGTATAGCTAGCGACATCTAATCACAAGTCATCTTAGGAAGGTCTTTACCGACCAATCAGGGAGTCGCTTACGAGAACGCAAAAGAGAGAGGGTCCGAAGGTGCGTTCTATTGGTAGACAACCAGGGCATTACTAGCTATAGTTACGGACTGTACGGGATAAATATCTGAAACTGAAGAGACTTTCCATTGCCAATGAGCCGTAATGCAAAACAATTTCAGGCTTCTATTATACATCCAAGAATTTCCTTTTTTCCTTTTTTTTTAACACTAACGTTGTCAAAATATTTTAAAGTTGAAATAGTTTATGTCAATATAAGTTTTAAGCGTTATCTTGAAAGGAATTCACCATTTAGAAACAAGTACCTAAGGTTCGATAGACTACTTTCTGATTGGCTAATTCGACTTCCTGTGGGTAATTCATTGGTTGGTATAGAGCTTGGCTCATGCTTCAAGTCACATGTTTGCTGTAACCAGGTTTGAATATTTACAGGATGTCGTAGTATAGCCTCAATATTGACCGTGGGTCCCAGAAACATTTATTTAATGACATTAACTACGAAATGAAATGGAACCATGACACAACAGTCTCATTGTAATTAATAATAATTACAATAATGGTATCACGGTGACGTATATATTGTTTTTCTTACTACAATGTGTAACTAAAGGATAGCACATCTGAGCATAATAATTTCTTCACAATGCAACTTCATCACATTAAGATGCTTTCGCTTATATTTTCAATTACTAGTGATCGATTTACGCTTGTAAAATTCAAGCCAAGTAATAAACAGAATACGTTTCCTATTGAATGCCAGATTGGTCTCTGGCTTGGAATATGGATTTGTATACGTTAGCACAGAAAATGTGTGACACAAATATTTCAGTTCGATTCTATTTGTCAATTGGGCTCTCCAAATAGAATATTTCCATTGTAGCAAATTGTCAAAGTAAACTTCAAAGAAAGAGATTTCGTGGTAAATGTTTGAATAGGAGGTCGAGTGTTTTTCTTGCGTAGTGGTTCGTATTCCATGTTTTCTCCGGTAAAAGTCCATCCGTCCTCAACAGTATACACCGAAGGTATAAACGCCTAAGTTCAGATTACTCACTATAGTGGAACTGCAGAGTGAGTTTGGTTTTATGCCGCATTTAGCAATATTGCAGACACATCAGGACGGGGACACCAGAAATGGGCATCACACGGTATACCCATGTTGAATCGAACCGGAGTATCGGCTTGACGTGCCTATTAGTCTAAGCCAACTGCAAAATGAAATAAGTTGTCCAGTTGTTTAAGCATCTGTCTTGGTTGATACAATGTGTGTCACTACGTTACTGCTTGAATGTGGCCAAACACAACCAAACCACAGTATCTGAAAATCAGCTGAAGATACCTTAAGCCACACTTACTTTCTTGATATAGATTCATTACTTCAATACTAACACACAACACTTTATAACAGCTGGTCTTACTTTCGGTTCCACTCTGTTTACATATCAATAAACCTTCTATATCACAATTGATTAATGAAAGTACTTACTTTATTCGTTTACCCCAGCGAATATCCGTTGATATTGTCCGGGGCAGCAAAATTCGGGACTATCTCTCTTAGGGCTGGTCGCGATAGTGTCAAGTCGTATGACGTCATTCATTAGCTGTCAGTCGTTTATGAATGCAGGTTCAAGATGGGAGGGCTATACGCTTTTTTAATGCAGGCAGGCGTTCATAGCTATAGACTGCGAATGCATCTAATGATGGACCAGTGTTAAGATGTATATTTTCATTCTAAAATACACTCTGATAATTGTTTAAATTTTGGTATTCTGAACATTTCCCATAATTAAAAACTCTCATTTTTCTCATTTTGAAATAAGACTTCTGTCTATGTCAATGTTCTGACATATTATGAGTGAATGAGTTTAGTTTTACGGCACTTCTAACAATATGCCAGCAATATCACTGCGGGGGCACCTGAAATGGGTATCACACATTATCCCCACGTGCGGAATTGAACCGGGCGTGACGAGCGAACGTGACCTATTGTGATCTGTGTAACAAAAGCATGAATGGCTCACCCGCCTGACCAGCAAAAGAAATTATACACTTGAAATTTGATTTGATCAAATTATAAAAAAGTAGTAGGTTGAAAACAGTCACCAAAACAGTATACACGTAGCCCATATACCCCCTAACACATATGTCAACATCGAAAAGCCATTCCTTCTTTGTTTTGTTCTTAGAAATTCTTAACTATAAACCTTCTTAGCATGATAATGCATATCTTAATATGAGTAACGTGTATATTGTGATCATAAATATTGTTTTGTTTTCTCTGACGAAAACACCTTCACTAAATGAAAGATATATATACAGTCATTTAAAGGATAAATCCTTTTTATTAAAATGATAATAGTATGTTGCATGAGTATGATCTCAAAACGTTTTTAAGATGTGAGCAAAATGATTACAGAAAGGATATAATCTGCTAATATGCCTATAGGTACAGCTACACCCCCATGTCAGGCCTCATTTGTTGCTATACAACTAGTGATAATTATGTCAGTGGTGAGCTCATGGCGGCAGCATTATCTGCATGACTTCCGGGTTACATCAGTCTCGTTGCTCGTCACGGTCAGGGAGCTGCCATGTACATAGAACACAGTGAGCACTGACACCTACTGACAACACCGAACGATTATATACCTGTAACTGTGTCAGTAATAGTATTTTCATTCTCTTAAAAACATTTGCAGGAAAATGTTAAATCCGTCAGAGGAACTGCCAGATTATGACAGACTAGAATTCTTACGTATACAGATAATGTTCTACCACATATTAATAGAATTTTAATCTTTATTTAAATGGGTTGTGCAAGATAAAAACAAATCTGCAACGATAAAAGTAGAAAGAAACGTGTTTCGTATGTTATTAATCGGAATAGTTGAAACCAAGGAATAATAAATATTCTTTACATTTTTACATTGTTTCTGCTGTTGCATCGTTTGTGTGGAGATATTGGCAATTTATCAGTTTTTCTATACTATTTGGTATTATTCAAATGCATTGAATGAAGCACCATACCTCGGGTAGTGAGTTTCACACTAACGATGTACGTTTGCCTCTTTATTCATTTTCAAAATATATACAAAATGTTTAAGCGAGAGAATAACCAGTTTCAATTATGTAAAGATTAAATTGGCCACTAAAGGATGAATGTTTAAAGTATATGAATGGATCACTGACAATCAGTGATGCCACAATGTATTCGTGAAAAAAGGGGAAGAATGTCCTTCTCTACCGGGAGCATTGGCCATGCTTACAATCCACGGAAACCATCACGCCGGATGAGTAGCTGAATGTTCCATTTGGTAGCTCCAGAATCAACAGTTCCGATGCCATCGGAACAGTTTAGAACAACGAGGTAGCTTCCCTCGCATTAACGGTTCAAGGAATCTGCCAATCAAGCAGAGACACATGTCCTTCACGAATCATGTCCTTCACAATACTTTTGGTAACGGTTTAATTTTATAACCTCGTACATGTTTGTTAATTGTTTAATTCTTAATTGTTATTGTCAGTAATATTCCAGCTACATGACGACCAAGTAATTGGTATCATGAGCATCGATCAAGTAGTGTGTCAATCAAGTCTGCCAGCCTAAACTCGATCCCTTTAGTCGCCTATAACAACAAGCATGGGTTGCTGAGGATCAGTTCTGACCCGGATCTTCATTGGTTCAAGTATGATGCATATTTACCAGTGATGCTGGTGGCACTGGACGTATTGTGTTGAAGACAGGCGGTGTATAATGTTATGAGGGCATCAAGGGTATTAGAGGCTGTACAACGTAGTACTGATGAAGGCTTCATGGCCGAACACCCACACGATTAAACCCTAACTGTTCGTTTTAAGATCGATTTAACGCAAAGTAAGCAAATAACCCAAGGAAAAACGTAACTAAACATATGAAATTGTATCGGCGATGCAATCCTTCACTGCTTTCATTAGCGGGCGACTGAGGTTTGAATGGCCTAATATGTTCAAGCTAAAAAAATGTTTATCTAGAACCAGAGTAAAAAATGTGAAAAACCTGTCTAAATTCATCAACATCATCTTCAGACTAGTTGCAGCTGCATGAGAATATTGCTAACTTACTTTGTCATATTTCATTGAAAATTTCACTATATATATGTATTTACCTTATATTGCTGTCATCTTGATTGATTATATAATCATATGCGAATTTATATTGTACTTTTCTCATGCACTACCGTTGGTGGGTTCTCTTGAGAATAAAACTGTCTGTCTGTCAGTAATATGGGATGCACTTAGTACTTTGAGTTGAAGGGGTGTACTTACTACTTTATTATGCTAATATTTGTATAGCGCCAATATCCAGCTCAGCTGATCAAAGGCGCTTTGTGTTTTCCTTCGATCACTGGATGTCAATTTCAAACGGCACACCGTATTATCAATCTCAACTCCCAGGGGTTCGTACAAATCTTGCAGCCACTAGGCGCAGTTAATGTGGCTTTGACTGCACGTTGCTGTACCCGCAACTAGGTGTTTGCACGTATTCATGTGGCCACATGTGGCTACATCTGGTCATATACCAACGGAGGTGGGCTCGATCCCGGCACCTCAAGCTCGCTAGATCACCGGCCTGGCGCCTCAGACAGCTCACCCACCACGCCCCATCGTGAAATGCAAACGTTTAATAGTTCCTATAGTGTACACATATGAATAATGATATCGAATATTTATATCATTTATGTAAAATATGTGCTATATTTGAACTTTAATGTTTCGCATAGGGTATCATGAAAGCACGTTAAGTCGAAAAAAGAAAACAACATGTGACTTAATGAGTGAAACAGGGCATGCGTGGTGTTCAACACCTCTTTAACGATATTTAAGTTATGTCACGGTGTCTCAGTCTAGCCTTAAGTAATAGTGAGTGAGTGAGTTTAGTTTTACGCCGCACTCAGCAATATTCCAGCTATATGGTGGCGGTCTGAAAATAATCGAGTCTGGACCAGACAATCCAGTGATCAACAGCATGAACATCGATCTACGCAATTGGGAACCGTTGACATGTGTCAACCCAGTCAGCGAGCCTGATTACCCGATCCTGTCAGTGGCCTCTTACGACAAGCATGGGTTACTGAAGACCAATTCTAACCCGGACCTTCACGGGTCCTTAAGTAACAAAAACCTAATCGCCACTTTGGTGAAACCCACAACAGGGCTATGGTGTTTCAAATCAAGAAGATAATCATCGCTAATTAGGCCTTGCAACTATGAGTGTAGGTTTTTGGCACGCATGAGGTACATAACTGCCTCAGAGACCGGGCACCTCGTGCCTCCTTAACCTTTGTACAAGACACAAGGTGGACTCCAACGATGTGACAGCTTGATTCCTTGCCATGATGAAGCACACACATTATGTTGGCACTTTTATGTAGACTGCCGAGGATTCCGCGAGGTCAAATGTAAAATTCAGTTTCTTCACCATTGTCGCCCAAAGTGAGGTCTGTTCCTTTGGGTATCCAGGCTTCTTTTGAAGTCCAAATTAGGATCAAGGTGAGTTTTAGATAAGCCTGTTCAAATTTTTAGACACAAACTGCGTGCATCAATTTCTCTCTGTAGAACATCTCCCGGAGGATGTACGAGGAAGGTAGGTCCCTACTGTGAGATGATGGTCGGAGGAGTCGAGTCGATACCAATGCATGACGTGTCCCGCCAGCGTGGCGTCTTACACATATGTCGTCAACATCCGATATGCCTGGTCGGTTGCCTTCAAGGCCATCGTCAAATAGCGGGATGCTGATTGAAGCACAAAACATATTCAATAACTTATAGTTTCAATATATTTCCTTATGGATAAATCGAAGGATTACGAGTTCATGCATTCGGTGCAAAGACTGACTGACTGAGTTTGGTTTTACGCCGCTTTCAGCAATATTCCAGTAACATCACGGCGGGGGACACCAGAAATGGGCTTCACACATTGTGCCCATGTGGGGATTCGAACCCGGGTCTTCGGCGTGACGAGCCAACGCTTTAACCATTAGGCTACCCCACCGCCCTTCGGTGCAAAGAACGTGAACAGGTTTTCGAAAATAAACGTTTCACTTTTCAGGTCTGTCGTAAGATAAGTCTAAAGTAAACTGAATACTGATTTAGAACTTGGTCTTGTTTTAGCGAAACTTGTATCAACAATGCCAAAGTTTGCATTGATTACGGTTGCTAGGTTTCTATGGACTTGTCATTTTCACTGTCATCCGTATTGATATATCAGCACAGATATCTGTACCAGTGTTGATACGTTCTGTATATCAACAAACAACTTAATCCTCATGAGGCAGTGGTATTGCTGGAATGTTGCTAAAAACTCACTAACTCACTCATGAAATGATATAACATACATCTATATATATCAAGACAGCTGGAGAGACCGTTCACATAAATGAATAAACCTGTTTGCATAAATGAAAGGAAAATATCTTGATTTCGTTTTGTATTTTTCCCGTTTTGAAACACCTTCATTCAGTATTTCATTTATAACATGTGTCAACCCTGTCAGCGACATATTCACAGGAATTTCATTTATAACATTACCACAGGTATTTGGCCTTTTACCCTTCTTTTCGACTGGTAATTTTATGTCAAATTAATGCCCATGTTATAACTTGATATTCCACGAGGAAAGCATTTTCTATTTTCGTCCGAAATCGAGTTCTAATAAACCTCGGTATATTGTCATGTATGGGTTTTCGTTCTTCTGTTTGCAGTACCTTGGGTGTCGCAATGGGTAGTGTTTCACTGGTTTTGGTGACCTGCCTGTGCATCGTCGTCATGGCAACAGGTTCGTTTCCATTGTTAGTATGTACTTAGGCAAAAGGTCACATACTTACATTACACAGCCAAAAACGTAAATGCATTTACAATATGATAATTACTATAAGAATAATTGTTTTGGTCCTAAAGCTTCTGATGCACAATGTCACCTCCTGTCATTTCACAAAACGTTTCAGCAAATGACTAATTGCCGGAAGTGCACACGATAGCTCAACTATCAATTGCTTGATGCTGCCATTTGTTTGGCACTGGATGAAACGTGGCCATTCACCCATTGTACTCATACACGGTTGCTGAAGTCATTTATTGAAAAATATGATGTCATAAACATCGAATTTGCTTTAAAATTACATTGCAAGATTGGGCTATTACTATTTTACCTGTTCAATATTGTAAATGTCATAAAACAAAGACAAATGAGAGTTTGCTCCCAAAATTGATTGTGGTTAAAAAATGAAACACATAAGAAATAGTAATTCATTGACACCGCATTTAAGTTTTGGACCTTAAATTTGTAGCGTCAAATCCAACGTTCAAGAAAATGCTTTTAGGACTGTTAGGGCTAGATGATGAGACTTAGGCTCATAACTTCTGTCGTAGCGCCTCCATAGTCTAATGGGTAGAGTGGCTACTCGGAGAGCGAAGCAGCGATAGTTCGATCTGCCATGGTTGTATTTGTTGTTACTCTGACTGGCACTCGACATTAACTGGTCTCAACATGAACTGGTTTGCTCGGAGTCAGTATACACTCTATGACTAGAGCGACCAGCACAGTAAAACAGTGGACAAACATTACAACGCCAGCAGATTATTAAAAGCAATTATACGATGGCATATCAAGTTTCGAGTTCTAGCAACTCTATCGTAAGAGCAACCAAAATGATAGTATAATATCACGAATTGGAACACTGCTGATACCATCTTCAATCTGTTTGCATACCGTATCAACTGTATTGTAACAGCGACATAGAACCCGACAGATGAAAACTGTTTGCATCCGTGATTCTTTAGACGATGCAATACTTTAGGACATTCATTATCGTTACAGGTACTCAAGGTCAACGAAACACGCCACGACCTCTGGCTCCTCCTCCCCCGCGGCCATTTTACCAGTCGTCTCCCAACAACTTCTTTGAAAACTGGATGATGATGGACTATATGAATGGAGGAGAACTGTTTTCATGGCGCCGGCGTTGATGACGTTACTAAAACAGTATCAAGCATGCCTGATGTGACTAAGTAACTGAGAACTTTGTACTTTTATTAATAAAGTTGTCGATGGAAATTGATTTTTCTCTTTCTGATCAATAAAAATGCAATACTCTTTTTCTTGTCCTCGATGTCTTGTCGAGTTATCGTTAAAGAACGTAATACTCACATATGTTGCTTAAGGTCCGACTATTTTATATGCAGTATGCGTGCGTGAATAGGATAGGTGTCGGGTTGGTGGGGATGTTGTCATTAGTGCTTGAAATAAGATCCTATTAAAAGGAAATATGCATCCAATATCAAAAGATGGATGATTTAACGGAGCAGCAATGTCTGACTAATCTAATCACTGGGGTGTGAGATAATGAGTGAGAGACGCTTGTAGCAATATTCCATCAATATCACGGCGGGGGACACCAGGAATGGGCTTCACACATTGTACCCATGTGCGGAATCGAACCCGGTTCTTCAGCGTGACGAGCGAATGCTTTAATCACTAGGCTACCCCCACCGCCCCTGTGAGATAATGAAGTTTTCATTGATACCAAAAGTTATACGGTGAATGTCAGCTGTGAACAAAATTAAAGACCAGGTTTTGCTCTATGTTCGTGCAATTTGATGATGCAGCATAACGGAAGTAGAACACAACAGTTTGGATGCTGTTGTGTGCAATTCCAACAAATCATGACGGATGAGCTACAGGATTATGACAAAATCCTGTTTTCTTTAACCTCTGTTGAAGTTTAGGGTTGTCTTATCTGTTCTTTTTTAAATAAATCATCATGTTGTGACATCGAAGTATATGTGTAATTTATCTTGAACTTCAGTAGTAGTTGTGGTCTCTTTTCGGGATGTTCTAAGACAGCAGGCTAGTTGAATATTCAGGCGTTCCTAAAGTGCCCTTTTTGTAAAGCACTCGTTTCATCCATGCCAATATGGAACGTATATTATCCTAATGCGTACATGATTCATCAATCTACAACATATACTGGACAAAATAAGTTAGGGATATTGGTATTTTAATGATTGATATTTTATCAGTGTGTCAATACATTAATAGATCATTATTCATAATTTCAAAATTTACATATATCCCTAACTATGTTTGTCCAGTATAGAATCCTGTTCATTCAAGATTGACCCAAGTCAACAAGATCCATAGCTTCAGTGGATTTTCCAATCCAATTACAGCAAAGCTCTTTCATTTCAAACATAATGCACTGTACAGAAACACACAAACCTCTAAATAGCATATGGTGAATCATGGACCGTCGAATTCAGCAAGCAATGAAAACTAATTCTCTGGTATGTAAATGCTCATCTACCTGTTGAAATTGTACAAGGCGTAATCAAGAACGTGCAGCAGATAAGACACGTGACAAAACACCGCTTGGAGGGTCGAAATCAACAACCACAATGTGTGTAAAAATGTCAGTACACTGTGCAGATAAAGGAACACATAATAGCATAACATAACATATATGTGCATAATCCATTACTCTAATAAAGGCAGAGCTCTGTCAGAAGCAGGTGCACGCAAAACATTTCCGTATCCTGTCCTATCGTTATCACAAGACTCAAAAACTTGCAAAGGCATGTGAATTGTTCCCTATAAAAGCATGGAAATATATGGCACATCGCAAAAACTTGAATTGCATTTTCGTCACCGATGCGTTACGTCCGCTATTAAATCTCTTAAAAGATTTGCTGTGACCTTGAATGATGTAACCTTGATAAAACACATTGAGGAAGCGTTGTGTGATGGAGCTGGTAGAATATTGCTTGACACAGATTATTGGAGAGTATCATAACGTCTTCTGGCCAGAGTGTTGTCACTGTGAATCTCTCGCACAGGTCTAAACATTAATCGGATGAGTCGTTTTCCCTGAATCTTTGATATTTTAAGTTCAACTGACCACCATTGAACGATATAAAAGCATTCATACATTAGAAGCTTAAGTAAAATCTCTTGGCCAAACACCCATAAGATTTTGTCCGCAAGAAGTAAATAATTCCTAATTAAGAAGATCAACAGGAAGGGAAGAAGAATTGGTGCCCTTGCGGACGCCTAATTTATCCCTAAGTCCACGAGGAATTCGAGTATTTTACGTTGTCGATGAACAGCAGATGCCATTCTGTTTCATTTGTGACAAGTTGTATTGAAATTGTAACTATATTCTAGGGTCGCCACATTTAATCAAACATGTTCCATGTATAGAATTCAGGTGCAAAATCAAACTTTGGACAAACCTTAAGGTTTTTATATCACTTAAGTTTCAAGCACATTCTTCAGGTTTTTTAAGACCCTCATTTGTATCGTTCAGAATACTTACCTCAAATATAAAGAATTTTATTTACTATATTAAGGACAGGAATTTGCCGTTCATTTGTTGGACATGGCCACATAAAACTCTTCAGAAAAGTAGCTACTACTGGGAAGTAGCATACAATGTCCAAAACTGTGCCAGATAATTGTAGATCTCGTCATAATATAGCGTTGTTCACTTAAACCAGTGTTCACTTTTGAAGCACCCCTTACAAATCGTCAGATCTCAAACAGACGAGATGTAACGTTATTATAGTAAATCGTTCTAAACTGTACTTAATGGGGGTATAGCAGGCTGTACAAACGGAAATACAAGGCAACAACAAAAATGGAAAGAATATATTATTGTAAGAATAAAGTGAAGCATTCTAAGTTCGAAAGAAAAATAATTCCATAAAACAGAAAAAAAGAAGGTTTTTTTTTTCTTTTAAAAAATCACAAGACACTCATGAGTGAAAACCCACCATGGATTCCAGTGAAAGGTTTAAAACTGTTGTGGTCTATACCAGGCAATTAAGGACTACAATAGAGGACTACAATAATAACATTCTTTATAGAGTTGTCATTGGTTATTTCATTACGCTTAAACGTCCAGGGCCTAATGATATCCGAAGCAGGTATTGGAAACTGTTCTCTTGTACCCAAACACCATTGCTTCCTGGTCTCAATATCCTAATGGATCACCTCTGCTCTTGACAAATATTTCTTGTGGACGTGGGAAGGGGTTGGCGCTGATCATCTAGTGATGGCACCACAGATACGTATGCAGTGCCCGTCATTTTTTGTACTTTATTGTTGATTAGAAACAAATTCAGACTATTGGCATAGCACATGAAGAATCATTTCAGACAATGGATTCTTCCTCTCGCTCTTCCCTCAATCGCTTATGTTAATCAGCTATTACGGGATGGTGCTGGAGACTTTTCATGGCTGAATTTTATCATGCACTTTTGCAAACATGTCCACTTGCCTGGTAATCTTATTGTGAAACATGTCAAAGTGACATGGTGAAAACAAAGCATTACACAATGGTCTTAAAGGAGCCGCGGATATTGGACAAAATATCAATGATTTTGTTAATGGTTCTGTACTGCTGGACGGTACAGGCATGAGTGCCAACCGCGCCCTACGGTGCCCTACCAAATCTATACAACCCAAGTGGTTCAAGAACGGCCGAGTTCATGTGCACTGTTTTGTGAACGAATAACATCACTGTAGAGTCCATGGATGAAACCAAGTAAAACAAAAGGCTTTCAGTTGGCTGCTCACGATCAGTCACTTCCAAAACGAAACCGTCAATTTTAAATCAAAATGTATTAAATGTTGAGCATATACTCCACAAAACCCCACAAAGGTAGACACATTGGAAATATCTGACGGAGTTTTGATGATATTCGTACACATTGAGTTCACATGGCCGTTTGCATATTGTGTGCAGGCAGAATAAACTACTCTCAAAAATACGGATTGTAGTGGAAACTCAAAGTGTGGGAGTGTGGCGGCCAAACACGCCAACATGGAATGAACGTGCAACATTAATTGTTGGGCCATGAAAACTATGGGGTTTCATTTGTCTGTCATCAGAGATGTACATCACGTGAAACATGAAAACATGCTATGACTGACAAAAGTTTCACTCAACAAAGCTTGTGGACACCGAAATCGTTACGTGGTGACTCCCAAGTTGTAACTAAACCTTAAACGAGCATTAGACAGTAAAAGAACTGAAATCAAACAACACCTAATATGAACAAAGCATACAAATTGATACAAATTACTACTAAAGGTGTAACAGTACAAAATAGCGTGGCAGTACAAATTCAAGGGAAGTATAATACAAAAGTAGTGATTATAGCAACAATGGCAATATTCCCCTCACTGCAACAATGGTGAAAAGCTACGAAAAATAAACCAAGGCTGAGTATTCCATTGCTGGTTTTCTTGTAACTTTATCCTGAGATTTAATGTGAGATGAGGGGCAAGAGTAGAGCAGTATTTCGTTTAAAATATTGTATTTTGTTTTGCCTGTTCTTTATCATGAATATCCTAGCAATACGGCAGTCTGTGTGTTGTGTGTCACCTTCAGTGTTCGATTCCCATTGTCATATATCTTTCAAGTTTCGTAAAAACGTCTATGCCTTGTGACATACAAACAACACGTTCTTCAGCTGGTAGTCACGCTGTCAACAAACCCTTTGTTGACGAATGGTAAATGTGTTCATGGTTTACACCAACATACATAGTGACCTCCAATAATGACGCTGGTTACATTTCTAGTATCAAACCCGGTTCTCTTTTATAACCAAGTGTCGTCAGACAGAGGATGTTAATGGACATTGGTCTCTGACAACATACGTTTCTATTGTAGTGGATTTGGCAAGCCTTTTGGGGTTCAACGGCGGTGGTGGGTTGTTTCAAGCACCGTCCCGGAGACTCATTCGCAGAAATCAAGGCATGACTACACACTTTGCATGATATGAAGATAAGAAACAAAAGTTAATAAAGATAAGACAGTAAAACATGATTAACACCAAGCATTCGTAACAAAAGAGCGAAAACCGAATGTCTCAACTGTTGTTTTCTTGTGTTTGGTAATTTAAAAGTAATTAAGAAACGGGTGAATAATTGAAAATTCAAATTTAACATACGGTTTTTGCCTTCTGTTGTAGATCTTTTGAACTTGCAATCATTGCTGGGACGATCAAGTGGTACGGGGCTCAGTGGCCTTTTTGGAGGGCGGCAGACAAACACACAACCGCAGCAACCACTCACACTTCAACAACTTGCTCCTGCTTTGCTTCTGTCCAATATGAAGTTTCAGAATAGAATGATGAGAGACATCTTTTAATTTCGGTGTATATTATGTGAATGAATTGAAATAAATTCCAACTCTTGTTTCAAGACTTTAAGGTGTTGTGCAAACGAACAATGAACTTGCTTTTTGGTATGCCAAACATTAGGCCACTCTTTAACACTATACGATCGAACGCAATTCGTTATTATGTATTGTTTGCAGGGTCATCGACAGAATACACTGTATGCCGTGTAGACACTGTTAACACCGAACGAATAAATGTCACGGTAGCTTCGAGTTCAAAGAGTGTTTGTTTCAATGACCTTCCACTGCATTACTGTGAACGACGTGATTGGCAGAATAAAACGAACCACCTATGATCACGGGGTCGAATTTCGTAGAGTACAGTGCCAAAAACCAGACACAATTCAACAATACCCGACATTGGTATCTAAGAATGACAGTTTACATAAACATGTGTTTGGGTATATATGCAGGCATGTGGTGTCTAATGTTTGCGGAAGATCATGACAATATATATGTTAGTTGTTGACTTTTCGATGTCAAGTTTATATCTACTAGGTGGAATAATGGTGATAATATTTGCCAATCCAAGTCAGTTTGGTTCGAAGCAGTGGCGATGTTACACAGAGAACACCATTTCATTAAGTCAGAGTATTTTTAGGGATTATGTACTTGTGAACGTCAAGGTATGTATTTTGTAACTTTTAAAGGGTTGTATAAAAAATTGTATCTGACGACAGATTTCAGATTTTCATCTAGTGATGGCACCACAGATACTTATGCAGTGCCCGTCATTTTTTGTACTTTATTGTTGATTAGAAACAATTTCAGACTATTGGCATAGCACATGAAGAATCATTTCACACTGAAAATATCTGACGGAGTTTTGATGATATTCGTACACAATGAGTTCACATGGCCGTTTGCATATTGTGTGCAGGCAGAATAAACTACTCTCAAAAATACGGATTGTAGTGGAAACTCAAAGTGTTGGAGTGTGGCGGCCAAACACGCCAACATGGAATGAACGTGCAACATTAATTGTTGGGCCATGAAAACTATGGGGTTTCATTTGTCTGTCATCAGAGTTGTACATCACGTAAAACTTGAAAACATGCTTTGACTGACAAAAGTTTCACTCAACAAAGCTTGTGGACACCGAAATCGTTACGTGGTGATTCCCAAGTTGTAACTAAACCTTAAACGAGCATAAGACAGTAAAAGAACTGAAATCAAACAACACCTAATATGAACAAAGCATACAAATTGATACAAATTACTACTAAAGGTGTAACAGTACAAAATAGCGTGGCAGTACAAATTCAAGGGAAGTATAATACAAAAGTAGTGATTATAGCAACAATGGCATTATTCCCCTCACTGCAACAATGGTGAAAAGTTACAAAAAATAAACCAAGGCTGAGTATTCCATTGCTGGTCTTCTAGTAACTTTATCCTGAGATTTAATGTGAGATAAGGGGCAAGAGTAGAGCAGTATTTCGTTTAAAGTATTGTATTTTGTTTTGCCTGTTGTTTATCATGAATATCCTAGCAATACGGCAGTCTGTAAATAATCAAATCTGGGCAAGAGAAACCAGTGTTTGACATCACTGGCAGCGAGCCACGCAATTGGGATACGATGACATCAACCAAATCAGCGCGCTTGACAACCCTGTCCCTTAACTCGCTGCTGCAGGCGTGGGTTGCTGACAACCAGTGCTAACCCGGATCTTCAGGGTCTTTAACGGATTGAGTTCAAATACATGTTGTATCAAGAACAGGCACCAGAAATTTGCCAAAGATGTTACATGTAATTATCTTTGGTTATAAATATGTAGTTATTACTCTGACTAAAATGTGTGATAAACATCCAACATGTATGTTTGTCTCGAAATAAATAAATAATGTTCATGAATATAACACCAAACATATTAACGTCCTTCGTTAAGTCAGTGTGCAATAGAACTACTGCCATTCTGTGTTCCGCTGGGCGGTCAGCAACAGAGACATGGTGTCAAACATGCGTGAGTCATAAGTGCCATGTCGCCATTATACTAAGTCGTTCTGACATCTTCAATGCTTAACACTGAAATATATGGTAACCTTTCCCCCTTTCAAAACGGCTTTGTATCCTCTGAGGTAAAATCAGTCGTCGTCATCACTCACCAGTGTAAGTACAGCTCTCACTTCTTCCTCTCCAACTCTACCGTTATACAATACAATATCGTATTCAATCTGTGTATTCTACAATTTGTTTATTACAATAATATTTCCTGTTCTGAGCGACATCAAAGATATTGTCATACAAAATCAGGGATTTATTCTTATATTACTGAGTGCATTGTCATTGGTAAGTTCTTCGATTAAGCAAAACTATATACCACAGTGATGTACAAATATGGACAAATAACTGCAATAATCTTTGAGTAATCTTTCAAAGGTCCTTGCTATTTACAATGTCTTTGAGGCCTTTTATATCTGATTGACTTCGCATTTGATTTAAAGATTGTAAGCAAACGTTACAATTGAATGAAATGGAATATTTTAACTATTTTTAAACTGGATAAACATCGGAAACATTCCTCTGTGTTGATTAGGGGCGGTTGGGTAAGCCCGATGGTTAAAGACCCGGGTTCGATTCCCCACATGGGCACATTGTGTGAAACCCATTTCTGGCGTCTCATTTCTGCTGGAATATTGCTAAAAGCGGCGTAAAATCGTTCTCATCACTCACTCACTTTGTTGGTTGAGTTTGGAAAATGGTGTATCGACTGTAAACTCAGTCTGCAATGGGGAAATTGGATATCGCCGCTGACATATAAGCACTTCCATTCAAACTTGATTATATTTATATGAATCTCTTGAGAAGGCTTGATATTTGATAGTAGATATTTGAAAGATATGAGACATTTTCCAACAGGTTTGATTAAATAATGTAAATGTACAATACCGTTTAAAATATTTTTGCTCATCATGTCAATTCAGGAAGACCTGAACAACGTAGGTTTATGTGAGGATAAATTGTAGTATAATTATTATCTAGTTATTATATCTTATTAAATGACAACTATCCGAACAAATCCGGGGTAACACCAGTTTTGGTGCCATTTTGGAGACATTATCACCTGTGTGCAAGGAATGCGGGAAAGTAATATTAGACTTTTGCTTTTTTCACAATCATGTAGCATTCGATGTGTATTTCAATTATACCTACAGCAGTTAGCGAATCTCAATTTTCAGGTAACAAATACATGTGACCAGTGCCATGGCAGTCGCCTCATACACGTCATAAAATGAAATTATTGGTGAGCATTAATATACAAATAGACATTACAGCTCATGATCTGTGATGTTTTATCTTCCAGCACCGCCATGAAGCTCCTTGTCGTTTTCATCATCGTCACCCTTATGGCCGCTTATTGCCAGGCACAGAGTAAGCTAATCATTGATTGAACTCTTAGTATGCAAGGTTAAAGCCAGAAAAACACCTTGTGTGTCTTCCAAACCAGACACAGTTACGTCCTCAAAGTGGTTGGATTCCCTCAAAATTATTGTCTCAATTATTACCGATATTTGTTCAAAATACTTCTATATTGTGACAAGTTCCTAATGCAGCAAATTGCATCTTTTTAACCTTGTTTCAGAACAAGATATCGCATATTTAAGTGTTGGCTACAATACTTTTTACATGTATGGATATATATGATAAAATCTTTTAAGCATTAGATATTGTGTAACTCAGCGTAAAGCATACATCCATAAAAGCCACAACTAATGAAGTCAAATCTTAATTATACACTGTTTAGTTAATTACAGTATTAACATATATACAACTGTATAACATTTGTGACATCAACCAGCATTAACAAGCCCCGCCCAGTCAGGAAACAGAAGTATGATGGGCGTACCCTATAAATAAAAATATCGCCCAGCAGTTAAATCAATCAACTTGCAATATATTTGTGTGAGTTTTAAATCATTTGTCATAGAAATATGCGATGATACAGGGATATGGTTGATCAGCGGTGTGCGAGATTTACCTAACTGAATACGGTCATTTACAGACCCACACCTCACTAAAATGTAACATGCAACATATTACCAACAAGTTTGAAAAAAATTATTTCCTATGAAACGGTTTCAGTAACATTATTTCATATCTTATATTTGTGATTTTGAATGATGTTGCGTCATATAAACTATTATTACGTCATAATGAATGATTAATCTTCGCGGCTTCTGCAATCGGACGACTCTCCAGTCAGGACCGCTGGATCTTTAGGCATATTTAGATATATACTATATCAACAAGTAGCCAGGCTTGCTAAAAAGATGATGATGATGATGATGATGATGATGAAATGATGCTCTGCATCTAGAAAGTTGAATAATTGTTTTATTATTATCTTCTTTTGAAATTGAATACAATCATTCATGTTAGTTCCTGGTGAATTTTCAAATTAGGTGTATCCGCTGAAACCTAGACAGTTGAAGAAGGATGTCAAAAATGCATGGAAATCTTTGGAAATGTTTAGAATGCACATGTATTGGTAGCCCTACAGTATGAAAAGAAACAGACAACTACACAATAAGATGACGGAATATATTTCTTTGTCTATGGTTGTTTCAGTATATACATGCAATACTGACATTGTGAAGGTAAAGCCAGCAACAAGATATTTCCACATTCTCTCAATGATTCTAACACTTCAGAGTAAGAATAAAACAGTTGGCATTACAGTGCAAATGATTATTGGCTAATTCCTGACACAGACATTGAATCTCAAAATCAAAATGAAAGCAGGTATATGTGCAAGAATTGTCCTTATGTAAAACTACAACATTTTGTATCAAAGCAAATTCTTTGACTTGACATAATAAACATTTTTTAGTACAAAAGCATGATTTATTTCAGGATGTATTTGTTACTGTTTTGTTCACTGGAATGTAAACTATATTTTACTCCTTCTTGCGGGGTGAAGTAAAGTAGCGAATACGGATATTACTATTTATCTTACCTCACACATAAATTGGCTGAGTCAATCAATGTACCCTGCTTACAAGCGAGTAATATTTTCCATGTTACCCGCTGGAAATGCCGGACTGTGGGAATTCATTTGGTACTTCGTGTTAGTAGTGTTTGGGCTGTTGCCTAACTCCGGTACTCCTTATTATAATCCAATACCCATGCTTCAAACAGTTCAAAATCAACATGTAGGTGTTCGGTAAGATAAATACGTTGTTCACTGGTCCCTAGGGGCTCATGGGTTGATGTACCCTCTATGTTTGGTTTTGTTTCCTGAGCCCGAGGGGGGAAGAGAACATAGACAAACGTAGAGGGTGCATCTACCCATGTCCCCCCGAGGGACCAGAGAACAACTTATAATGTTCAGCAGTATATATTTTTATGTTTTCGTTACGCAGGAATTGCTCAACAACAACAACAACAGCAAGGCGGAGGTTTCAATATGAATCAGTTTCTACAATTTATGCTTCAAACTCAGATGTCAAACACTCAAAATGCTTTCATGATGGCCGCCATGTCCTGATTCAGAAACGTATTCTGAGAAATAAACGATGAAAACGTTTTCTGTTTTGTTTTATTTCAAGACACGATGTACCCAACGACATCATTGAGGTCATTACAGAGGTCACACAGAAAATATAGGACTAGCGTATTCATCAAAAATTGCATTTTTTGAATTTTCAAAAGAGCATTGCAGTTGCATATGGGAAGAAACGTAAAATGAACCGTTTTATCCATAATTTTATATGGTCCTAAACCAATGGTTGCGTTAAGACGTGTGTTGTGTGTCACCTTCAGTGTTCGATTCCCATTGTCATCTATCTTTCAAGTTTCGAAAAAACTTCTATCCCTTGTGACATACAAACAACACGTTCTTCAGCTGGTAGTCACGCTGGCAACATACCCTTTGTTGACGAATGGTAAATGTGTTCATGGTTTACACCAACATACATAGTGACCTCCAATAATGACGCTGGTTACATTTCTAGTATCAAACCCGGTTCTCTTTTATAACCAAGTGTCGTCAGACAGAGGATGTTAATGGACATTGGTCTCTGACAACATACGTTTCTATTGTAGTGGATTTGGCAAGCCTTTTGGGGTTCAGCAGCGGTGGTGGGTTGTTTCAAGCACCGTCCCGGAGACACTTTCGCAGAAATCAAGGCATGACTACACACTTTGCATGATATGAAGATAAGAAACAAAAGTTAATAAAGATAAGACAGTAAAACATGATTAACATCAAGCATTCGTAACAAAAGAGCGAAAACCGAATGTCTCAACAGTTGTTTTTCTTGTGTTTGGTAATTTAAAAGTAATAAAGTAACGGGTGAATAATTGGAAATTCAAATTTAACATACGGTTTTTGCCTTCTGTTGTAGATCTTTTGAACTTGCAATCATTGCTGGGACGATCAAGTGGTACGGGGCTCAGTGGCCTTTTTGGAGGGCGGCAGACAAACACACAACCGCAGCAACCACTCACACTTCAACAACTTGCTCCTGCTATGATTCTGTCCAATATGAGGTTACAGAATAGAATGATGAGAGACATCTTTTAATTTCAGGTGTATATTATGTGAACGAATTAAAATAAATTCCAACTCTTGTTTCAAGACTTTAAGTGAACTTGCTTTTTGGTATGCCAACAATTAGGCCACTCTTTAACGCTATACGATCGAACGCAATTCTTTATTATGTATTGTTTGCAGGGTCATCGACAGAATACACTGTATCCCGTGTAGACACTGTTAACACCGAACGAATAAATGTCACGGTAGCTTCGTGTTCAAAGAGTGTTTGTTTCAATGACTTCCACTGCAATACTGTGAACGACGTGATTGGCAGAATAAAACGAACCACCTGTGATCACGGGGTCGAATTTCGTAGAGTACAGTGCCAAAAACCAGACACAACTCAACAATACCTGACATTGGTATCTAAGAATGACTGTTTACATAAAAGAAACATGTGTTTGGGTATATATGCATGCATGTGGTGTCTAATGTTTGCGGAAGGTCATGACAATATATATGTTAGTTGTTGACTTTTCGATGTCAAGTTTATATCTACTAGGTGGAATAATGGTGATAATATTTGCCAATCCAAGTCAGTTTGGTTCGAAGCAGTGGCGATGTTACACAGAGAACACCATTTCATTAAGTCAGAGTTTTTTTTAGGGATTATGTACTTGTGAACGTCAAGGTATGTTTTTGCAACTTTTAAAGGGTTGTATAAAAAATTGTATCTGACGACAGATTTCATGTTTCAAGGTATTCTATGCTCACAATAAACTATCAAATTGTCATTGGTGGAATCCCCACGTGGGATAGAGGTCCATGCTTTCTTTTATTCACTGGTTTTGTATGAGGGAAATGATCAGACAGCTTTATACATATGGTTTATTTACAGATCTGAGAAAACCATGGACACAAAGAAATGGACGCTTTCAGCACATGGCATTAATACAAAGCACATTCTCATTGGGGCCGTGTCTGATATTTTGGTAAACTTGCATATACAATGTTTCTATTGGATAGGTCTGGACCTGGTTCTTGCAGCTTTGGTTGGGGCAATAAATCGGCAACCATCTCGACAATTTCAACAACAGCAACAGCCAGGACTACAACAGCAACAACAACAGCAACAGCAAGGACTACAGCAGCAGCAACAACAGCAACAGCAAGGACTACAACAGCAACAACAACAACAGCAACAGCAACAACAACAGCAATTACTACAACAACAACAGCAAGGACTACAACAGCAACAGCAAGGACTACAACAGCAACAGCAAGGGCTACTACAACAACAACAACAACAGCAAGGACTACAGCAGCAGCAACAACAACAACAGCAACAGCAAGGACTCCAGCAGCAACAACAACAACAGCAACAAAGACTACAGCAGCAGCAACAACAGCAACAGTTCGGCTTCAGGTCACAAGAAGGACGAGGCCAAGGACAAAATAGTGACCGGCCAAGAGCTGCACCCCAAAACAATAATAGAGCGATACTGAATATGCTTCTTTGGAACCAAATTGCTCAGTCAAATAGGATGAATACATTAGCTCTCATAATGGGCAATTAGTTTGGATTAAAGGGTGATAAAGATAAAATGTTTGTCGTTTTATCTCTAGTTATTCCATCAGGACACTCGGGAAAAGGCATCTCATTCTTTGAAGGTGCTGCCAATAGCTGCGCATGGTCACCCTTGTCGGGACCACGTGACGGTTGATTCTTGTTTTCTCGGTGCCATATAACCGAAGGTAAAGTGTTAAACGGTCGGCATCTGCTTCGTTTTTGTGTGGCTTCAAACAGAGCCTAAGAAAGAGATAGATACTAGTATGTAAACTCCTTAAAAGCAGATCTAAATACAATGCCTTTTATAAAGTGTTCAGATGCAACTGGTACTATGTTTATGATTACACTTTCTGAATAAGTACAGATTCTAGTACTATCTTTTGGTTGAGTGCCATCTTGGATTAGAACCCACACTATGACATACGTTGCAACATGTGATATTTAAAAGTAACACGATGCCTCTCATTCTGGAGCGGACGAAACCTCCTTTTGACATCGCGAACGGTGGACTTTCGATTTAGCCAAAACCGATTCCGAGACTCCGGTAAGGTGAGGTCAGACTCACCTTGGACTTTACCAGAAACCATTGTACGATACCGATAATATATAACGCAGTATGAATCATTGCCAAATGGTAACGATACAATATGTTCGCGGAAGGTTGAGCGTATCCTGCATCACTGGCTGGAGACATCGCCGCAAACACATGCACAGGCATGTAAATTGTTCATATGAAAAACACGGGAACGTCCGGTACAAATCAAAGTAGAGAACTCGCGGAATTAGTTGAAATAAGGTGTTTTTATCGGACATCATTTGTCACAGATTTCAAATTTACCCTTTCATTTACCAATTACATTTCTATTTCCACATGTCTACAATAAAGGTTTGTTAAAACTTTACTGCGGACATGGACGTTGCAACCGTAAGGAAACAGAAATAAATGAACAGTATTTTAGAAAGTCCTCATCAGTTAGGCTCAAGAACACTAAGATTGTGTGGTCAAAGTTAGTGGTCAGATCGTCAGTCGGAGATGTATTGTATCAGTGTAAGTAATTGTGATTAGGTTGATTGGACCAGACAAACTGCAGATGGATATTCAGAGTAAGGAATTGTTGCCAAATACAACATACGACTCTATCAACCGTGCCAGAGCACACCTTCCCTTTCGTCAACATTCATACTTGTAAGATGCTGGGAACCTTTTCTAACCCAGAATCCAATAGAGTACAGGTAATTAAAGTGTAACTTGAGCAAATAAATAAGAAATGTCAAACTGTATCAAATAATTCTCCTTGAAGAGGGAGGGATTTTACGCCGTATTTAGCAATATTCCAGCAATATCACACTGGAGGTCACCAGAAATGTCTCACTGAAGAACTATCAGAAACGTGTGATTTTGAATCGTAAATATCATATTAGTAATACAAATTGTGATATACAAGATAACAAACTGCCAATTAGAATGACTGATTAAACATCGGGAGTCTTTTTTTACTTATTTTGTTTCGTGTTTGACAACAAAGACACAAAACAAACAAGAGTGGTAATATCTGTGCATCATACAATGTCATAAGTATTTAATATAGTAACTTCAGTGCAAATTCTGAGCTATCATGAAAAGCTCATGAAATCATGAAGATCATGAAAATTATTTTGACTGTGTCCCAGTGACAGTGACCTGCAAGTAGGGTGGGTATTGCAGAGAATTTTCATATTGCGATATATTGCGATGTGAAAGCATACATTGCGATATGAATTGCAATATACTGCAAGAAGTTTTTTTAACAAAAAATACTTATAATCGAGTTAATGCTTAATTTATAAAGCAGAAATACAAGAAAATTACTGTGCTTGATTAAGCTTTAATAAAAACTTTTAATCATGACAATATAAAAATGTAAATGATATTTGGCACAAATGAAACAATGAAAAGAACAATTTAACATTAACACAGTGGTTCAAAATGCTGCCATACTGAAGCCTTTGCCCTAGTATTTGGCAACAATATAGATAGTTCGTTGTTGACGGTCGCCATTTTACAACGGAAATATCCGAAGATTTCCCTGTGCTACGAAGTTTTCCGAATGCATTTTAAAAATACCGTTTTTCGATCAGCGTATCGCAATAGGTATCGTTTTCATGTCTGAACCGGTAAATACCGGTAAACAGTTTATTTTACGCTGCCCTACCTGCAAGCCACAAAGATGTCAAAACATCTCACACATCGCACCCAAATACGATGTTGCCAGCGCAATATATGTGTACTTACTTTTGTATGTCCGTTTAGTATCAAATGTTGTGCAGTCATGTTCGCGGACATCAACACTCATAACGTTGAAAACATAATTTAATCATCAAGCAACGTTTGGCTATATTATTGCGCAAGCAGGCAATACTTAGTGCACACAACACTACCACATTTAGTGTCCCCTCTGTGAATAGAATTGTGTTCGACAGACACTGAATCAATTATTGACACAAGTCAGCCAGTACAGATCGGACATGACTGGATTGGATTGGATGTTGTTTAACGCCGCACTCAGCAATATTCCAGCTATATGGCGGCGGTCTGTAAATAATCGAGTCTGGACCAGACAATCCTGTGATCAGCATGAGCATCGATCTACGCAATTGGGATACGATGACATCTGTCAACCAAGTCAGCAAGTCTGACTACCTGATCCCGTTAGTTGCCTTTTACGACAAGCATGGTTGCTGAAGACTAATTCTAACCCGGATCTTCACGGGTCGAGGAAGGAAGAATGGCTGTATGATACATCTATGTGTTATAATTATGGCCTCTCTTCAAGAGGCACGAAGTAAAACCAAAACTTCATGACATTGTTGTTGAAAAAAATATAATTTGAAGGGGACGTTATGGTTGTCGTGATAGTATTCTATTAAGTAGCAGTGGTCTCCAAATTACTGTAATGGAAGTGATATTTACATAGAAAAATCGCTTCATTTCAATTTCCCGAGAGACGAGAAATATGTACATAACACTAGTAATGTGTTTTTATATCATTTATTCATTTTATTATGTACAAAAACGACAACAAATTTAACTGCGACCTGTTGATTTTGTGAACACATTACTGAAACCAGTTCTTCATCCACGCCTTTCAGCGCCTGTGAATCGGGATATCACATTTACAAGTAGCGGAATTAAACAATGACCCTTGGGCACACCTCATTCTCACCCATGTAGAGCCAACTGTATTTTGTTCAAAGTAATGCCCAAGCCGATCAAGTCTTCTTTTGTCACAATCTGCAAGAAAGAGCGGTTCAATGAAACAACGGCGAAGAGGACATTCGTGTTTAAAAGTCTTATTGTTCGGAGTCTTATCGGGCTGGCATAGCTAAGGGACGGATCCCTGTGTCGAGTTAGTTTTTGTTTGTTTGTTGGATCTTTAATGCTGCACTCAGGAACATTCCAGCTATATGACGGCGTATAAGACAATTATTATGGATGTCAACTTCTTCTTTATTGTATACACAACGTTTCTGGGCTAATAGCTATTATCAACTTCTTCTTTATTGTATACACAACGTTTCTGGGTTAATAGCTATTAGCCCAGAAACGTTGTGTATACAATAAAGAAGAAGTTGACAAACGTTGTGTATACAATAAAGAAGAAGTTGACATCCATAATATTTTGTCTTATACTTGCATACCAACTTCTATGTGCATCTCAAGAACCTTATATGACGGCGGTCTGTAAATAATCGAGTCTGGACCAGTCAGTCAGTGATTGGCATTATGAGCATCCATCTACACAGTTTGGATGCAATGGCATGTGTCAACCAAGTCAACGAGCCTAAGCACCCGACCCCGTTAGTCGCCTCTTACGACAAGCATGAATTGTTGAAGCCGAATTCTAACCCGGATCTTTACGGATTCGTGTAGGCTACGAGTGTGAGTAAGTCAACGCTGTTGGCGCCAGAGATTCCAGCTGAATAGAGGAAGGAATATGAAGACTTAGATTAAACCTTTCACATGACGAACCTGCGTAATAATTTAACTCACAGAACCTGACCATACCACCGATTTCATTGTGGTACCGAGGACTTGTTCTTACCCAGATCACCATAGGACTCATGAATGATGGAAGAAGGTCGCTGAGCCTCAATTTCAATGCCAAGTGTCATTTAAATCTTTGACTTACTTCAGTTAATGCACTAATGCTAAAAATGCTGGATATGAAATCAGATACAATTACATGTAGGATCTGGAACTGCATAACATTCCGTGTCCCCCGCCGTGATAAAATCGGAGTAAAAGCTCACTCACACATGTGATGTATTCATGTTTTAAGTGCCTATTAAAAAGACCATATTTTCATATAAGCCATATTACTCACGATTTGGTCGCGAAACACAAGCGCAGTCCTGAGGGTTGTAGATGAGACTGTCTGGACATGTCAGCACGTTCTCCTGCTTGTTAATAACCAGCCGGAAGTCAGTCAGGTTCGACGTCTCTTCTATGTAACATTCTGTGGGCAGTAACATCAGTTGTTAAATGCATACAACCTTCTAAACCAATTATTTGTTTTCCAGCAAAATGGCTGTAAATAATCGAGTTTGGATTAGACAATCCATTGATCGACATCATGATCATCAATTTATGCAATTGGGATACGATGACATTTGTCCACCAAGCCTGACCACCCGATCCCGTAGTCGCCTTTTACGACAAGCATGGTTGCTGAAGACAAATTCTAACCCGGATCTTCACGGGTCAAGAAAGGACGAATGGCTGACTATGATACGATCTACTAGTATGTGTTATCCTTATGGCCTTTCTTTCAGAGGCACGAAGTAAAACCAAGCGTCCATGTTGTTGAAAGAAATTAAAAGACTCTGACAGCTTTTGCGAATGGATGCGTCCAGAAAGAGCCGGAACCACAATATCGACAAGACAGTATCGTTCTCGAATCTTTCTCAATGCCCCCAAAACACGACTCCACTAAACGTTGTGGAAGCAATCAACTAATTGGACAGACGATGTAAATGGCATACAATTAGAAAACACATTTTATGGGATATAAAGATTTACACCTATTCAAACAATTCACGCAATTCATTTTGCCATCTTTTTCTATGTGATGTGTAACCAAATTACATTGAAATACAACAAACTACGGGAACTTTTAAGAAACACTTATTTTAGTTCGTTATAACAGACCTGTGAAGATCCGGGGTAGAATAAGTCTTCAGCAACCCATGCTTGCTACAAAAGGCGACTATGCTTGTTGTAAGAGGCGACTAACGGGATCGGGTGGTCAGTCTCGCTGACTTGAGTGACACATGTCATCGGTTCCCCATAGCGTAGATCAATGCTCATGCTGTTGACCACTGGATTGTCTGGTCCAGACTCGATTATTTACAGACCGCCGCCATATAGCTGGAATATTGCTGAGTGCGGCGTAAAACTAAACTCGTTCACTCGTTATAATAGTAGTTCGACTTAAATGTACAGCAACTGATCGGGACCGAAAAAAATAGTTCGTTATATCCTGCAGTTCGTTTTATAAGTAATTTACCTTAATACGTATTCAAAGCACCGAGATTGTGTAAGCTCTAATATGAATTCTTAGTGCTTGCTTCGATTTTACAGAGATCCGAGAACATCAAAATGCAGGTCACATCAGAATGAACTTTATGGGATTGTATAGTCGGATAGGGGCGGTGGGTTAGCCTAGTGGTTAAAGCGTTGGCTCCTCACGCCGAAAACCCGTGTTCGATTCCCCACATGGGTACAATGTGTGACGCCCATTTCTAGTGTCCCCTGCCGTGATGTTGCTGGAATATTGCTAAAAGCAGCGTAAAACCATACTCAGTCAGTCAGTATAGTAGGGCTTCCACGGGTAGTCGAGTACTCGAGGACGAGTCGGGTTCAGCTGGACTCGAGTCCATTTTCAAGGACTCGAGGACTCGAAAAGGGGAGATAACTCAAATTATTTGACGTTGACAGACTGTCTGCCATGTGCTAAGCACGAGCGGCCGTTAACGTCTAATATTAAGATAAGATGTAACTTTATTATCCCGGAGGAATTTCTTATACATCCAAACTGTCTCAAAATGAATATATACACAGTTCACAAAATATACACAATAATTTAATTGCTATTTACAAAAAAACCTGACATGATATAATTCAATTAACCACATAGGTAAATATATCAACTATCAAATCTCATTTTAGCTGCCTTTTTGACAATCTGGCGCTCATAGATAAAGGGAATATACTCGAAAGACACTCCAGAAACTTTGCAAGCAGTATTAACAATTTTGAAAAGTTTGTTTTTGTTGCAATGAGACAGATCCCCATACCAACATAGAAAATTGTAGGTCAACACACGGTCATTACGGTTTTGTCAATGCCTTGACGATAATAATGTTCAGAATCAGAAATTAGGTTAGTAACAGTGGCGTCATCTGCGAATTTCACAGTAAACAAGTCATATATTGACAAGTAACAGTCATTGGTATACAAAACGAAGAGTACGGATGAAGGAACACAGCCATGTGGAGCTCCAGTAGAGGTTAAGAGAAAAGAAGATTGATAGCCATTGACACTGACATACTGAGTTCTATGTACCCTGAATTCTTTAACCCATCAGATAATGTTTTCATTAACACCTAGATTAAATAGTTTACTCCTCACACGGTGTGCCTGTATGGTATTAGTTGTTACAAGTCTGCAGATGAGAGTAAATATTATACATCGTTTTAGATTTCACTTTTTAAAATGATTAGGTAACTATCTTGACAATTGATAGACAAGAAAGATAAAAAAATCAAATGTATGGCGTATCTTGATCTGGATTGTGAAAAGAGCAAAATAACCAAATGCCGGCTGTGCGGTATATCACTGCTTTTTGCAGGCAGTACAAGAAGTACGAAGAAAAACATATTTGTCAAGTAAACATCCAAATACTGATTCTGACCAATAGGAAATGTTAGTCACATGACGATATGAAGTCGGAAAGAAGTAAGTGTTCACTTGTGTGATCGGAACACAACATGGTTTACGCTATGGTTCGCTTGAAAGGTATGAATTTCGAGTACTCGGGTCCTAGTCGAGTCTTACCCCTCGAGTACCCGAGTCCCAAAAAATGGACTCGTTGAAGCCCTACAGTATAGTCGGAAACTCAATCCTATAGTGGGTTGGTACATACAAAGTATCCGATGTAGACAACAGGTTAGAAATAGTTTCGACAAGACTGGTAAAGGCACTTGGGCCAAATGCATTGACGAAAGTGAGACCGAAATCGAAGCTTTATATATATTGGGAAAAAGACATTAAATCATGCAAACGTCAGTCAGCTTGTTATTTCAGTTGACATTGACAATGAAAATATTCCAGACTAGACGTTCGGAGACTAGCCCTGTGTTCCGGGAATAACCTTTACACTGGTCTGTTTATTGTGCATACCCCGTTGTTACAACGGTCATTAAAACACCAACATGATTGTTTGCTAAACAACTTCCCCTTCTTCGTGACAATTTCTGAAATTATGGTGACGATTTGCTATGGACAAATGACTAACTTTTAGACGATTTGTTGCTTTCGCTTGCATTGTTAATTCGCCATTACATCGGTACAATTTTACAGCAATAGTTCTAACGTAGGAGGGGTGGTGGGGTAGCCTAGTTTTGAAAGCGTTCGCTCGTCACGCCGAAGACTCGGGTTCGAGCCTTCAGATGGGTACAATGTGTGAAGCCCAGTTCTGGTGTCCCCCGCCGTGATATTGCTGGAATATTGCTAAAAGCGGCGTAACGCTCAATTACTCACTCACTCAGGATACCCATGTTTCCCAATTGATCAAATATATATTACCAACGTTTCTTTGGTCTCTGGGAATGCTGGTACTGAAGCCACAAATGCATATTTCCCTGATGAATATCAGACCGAGAGGGCAGGTGAGGGTCTCCCAGTTCCCTGCCATTGTCCTCTGCTCGAAGACTGTGCCATCGCGGCTCAGAGGACGCTTGTCGCATTCTGTCAAGTGAAAGTAACATTCAAAGGAATAGCCGAAGATAAATTGTGATGTGCTTTGGGTTGTGGACTGGGACACGAAGTCACAATTCCAGTGCTGCAGTAACACATCTGTTTGTTTGTTTGTTTGTTTGTTTGTTTGTTGCTTAACGCCACACAGAAATATTCCAGCTAGATGCCAGTCGTCTAGAAATAATGGTGCCAGACAGGCCATTGATTGATGTCATGAAGATTATTCAACAAAGATTAGATCGCATGCATGAAACCAAGTCATCGAGGCGGACGACCCGATAAGTGAGTGAGTGTGTGAGTTAACATTTAAAGTCATATCGGCAATATTTCTGCCATATCATGACTAGAAAGGATACCTATTAATAAAGGCCAATTTAGATTAAAAAGATAATGAAAGACAGTAAATTCACTATATATCACGGAATTTCTGTTTAAAACTAGTACGTAACCATACAAATATAGCACTCTGAACAACAATACTATATAAAAACGGGCTATTGATCGCAAACAACTGAAAGTAGATCACCATACCAGAGACCATCGGACTTACACTGTGTTTGCTACCAGCACGGTCTCGAGCTGGATTTAAACCATCCCTTCAGGTGTTAGCGACTGTATGCAAGGTTCACCATTGATCAAGTTAGTCGCCTCTTGTGACAAGCACCGATTGGATTGATATATGGAATTCCCATATTTAGGTGATTAATATCATAAATGTCTTCCATCATTTGTAAAATTAGTTCAACATCTAAGAAGAAGAAGAAAGAAGAAGATAATGTCCAAGATATTTTTATGGATTAAACTTCTTTTTAAAAAAAAAAAAAAAAAAAAAAAAAAAAAAGTTAATCCATAAAAATATCTTGGACATCAATGTACAACTTCTAAATGCCACTGAAAGACATCGAAGAAGATAATGTTTTGTAAGATTCGAAAGGACATAACAAAACAAAAATGAAAACCATAAAACTAAAGATGGCGCTAGTCTGACCCACTGGCTAAACAATACCTACCATCATGGATTTCTTGACAGTTACATCTGTCTGCTTTGAACACTTCCAAGCCATCGCACATGAGAACTCGTTCCACCCCACCATAATGCAACACAAACTCCCGTGCATTCAGTGGGCTTCCAACAATATAACATTCTGAAAAATTACAAAATAAGATACAGTACAACTGAATCCAAACGAGTATAGTGGATTCTTTCTTATTGAATGATATTAGACGTACAACATATTTCAACCTACCTCATCAAAGCATGTATTTGGCGCGGTTTTGTTCGCGTAACTAAACAGTATATACTCAATACTTTACTGAGAAAGCATGATCCCAAATACACCATGAATGTCAGAGTAGTCCAAACTTTGGGATGACAACGTCTTTGATGAATTATTATGGTGACGGTTTTGGCGTTGGACCTGGCTTGAAAACGATATACAGATATCCACCAACACGTCGTTTTACAGCCATAGTTTAGCAATTATTGTCTACACATTATGTCCTCCGACAAGAAGAAATATCTATCGAACTATTTATAGTTACAGGAAAGGTATGATTCGACGAGGATAAAATACATTGTTCACAGTCGTAATGAAAGGAGAAAAAACGTGGCTAATAGCAGTAACGGAAAGGGAAAATACGCTGTTAGTAGCCGTAAAGGAACGAGAAAATACATTGTTAATGGCCGCAATGAAAGAAGAAAAAATGTGGCTAATGGCCGTAATGGAAGGGGGAAAAACGTTATTAATGGCCGTAATGGAAGGAGAAAATTCGTTGTTAATGGCCGTAATGGAAGGAGAAAAAACGTGGCTAATGGCTGTAATGGAAGGAGAAAATTCGTTGTTAATGGCCGTAATGAAAGGAGAAAAAACGTGGCTAATGGCCGTAATGGAAGGGGAAAATACGTTTTTAATGGCCGTAATGGAAGGGGAAAATACGTTGTCAATGGCCGTAATGGAAGGAGAAAATACGTTGTTGATGGCCGTAATGGAAGGGGAAAATACGTTATTAATGGCCGTAATGGAAGGGGAAAATACGTTGTCAATGGCCGTAATGGAAGGAGAAAATACGTTGTTGATGGCCGTAATAGAAGGAGAAAATTCGTTGTTAATGGCCGTAATGAAAGGAGAAAAAACGTGGCTAATGGCCGTAATGGAAGGGGAAAATACGTTTTTAATGGCCGTAATGGAAGGGGAAAATACGTTGTCAATGGCCGTAATGGAAGGAGAAAATACGTTGTTGATGGCCGTAATGGAAGGGGAAAATACGTTATTAATGGCCGTAATGGAAGGGGAAAATACGTTGTCAATGGCCGTAATGGAAGGAGAAAATACGTTGTTGATGGCCGTAATGGAAGGGGAAAATACGTTATTAATGGCCGTAATGGAAGGGGAAAATACGTTGTCAATGGCCGTAATGGAAGGAGAAAATACGTTGTTGATGGCCGTAATGGAAGGGGAAAATACGTTATTAATGGCCGTAATGGAAGGGGAAAATACGTTGTCAATGGCCGTAATGGAAGGGAAAATACGTTTTAATGGCCGTAATGGAAGGGAAAATACGTTTTAATGGCCGTAATGGAAGGGGAAAATACGTTGTCAATGGCCGTAATGGAAGGGGAAAATACGTTTTTAATGGCAGTAATGGAAGGGGAAAATACGTTATTAATGGCCGTAATGGAAGGGGAAAATACGTTGTCAATGGCCGTAATGGAAGGAGAAAATACGTTGTTGATGGCCGTAATGAAAGGAGAAAAAACGTGGCTAATGGCCGTAATGGAAGGAAAAATACGCTGTTAGTAGCCGTAAAGGAACGAGAAAATACGTTGTTAATGGCCGCAATGAAAGCCGTAATGGAAGGAAGGAAAAACGTTATTAATGGCCGTAATGGAAGGAGAAAATTCGTTGTTAATGGCCGTAATGGAAGGATAAAAAACGTGGCTAATGGCCGTAATGGAAGGAGAAAATTCGTTGTTAATGGCCGTAATGGAAGGGGAAAATACGTTGTTAATGGCCGTAATGGAAGGGGAAAATACGTTTTTAATGGCCGTAATGGAAGGGGAAAATACGTTGTTAATGGCCGTAATGGAAGGGGAAAATACGTTGTTAATGGCCGTAATGGAAGGGGAAATACGTTGTTGATGGCCGTAATGGAAGGAGAAAATACGTAGTTAATGGCCGTAATGGTATGTTCATTTCATCTTCTAACAGTAAGTACAACAGCTGAAATATAGCTTTGAAAATCAATTACATAACAATTAAGAAATTTCAGGAAGTACAAGCGTGACATGCATGAAAACATCAAAGACGCCAGGCAGTAAATTAACAACAACAAAAACTTTGAAAAGAGTAAGAGATTCTTATTATTGCTTAATGAGTCAATGGTTCAACACTAGTATGTTGTCATTGTTTATATGAGGTCAACAACTGGTATACAACACCTGGGAAGTAAGGAAACTGATTACGATATTACTTCTATTCAGTTTGGTTTGCAAACAATTAGATTTAGATATTGATTTAAAAAACAACAAGGTTTAAATCTCCTTATATACTACTCACACTTTGCTAAGGATCACAAAAAATCACAACTTTACTTACACGTATATTTATAATTTGAAATTATATCCATTTAAAACTGGATAAATAATAATATGGTAACCCCTCTTTAGGCAGACAGTCACTTTTATCTAACCTTATCCACTTGATACATGAGTAACCATAAAAAAGTTTTTCATGGCACCAATCAACCATTTTGCAAATCATGGAACGAGTCGTTGACAGGTACACAACACCCGTACCTGTCAATAGCAGGTATGGGATCCACAAGATGAAATAACATACTGAAACCTAGGATCCATGCTTACAATAAGCTTAGATATTTAAACCAAATTTGATCCCACATCCCAAAGTGTGAATAGTATATGTTCATTTGGCCTATCAAACAAGGAAAACTGTAATCGACGAAATATCATAACGTACAGCAATAACACGGTATGTTACAGCAAAAATGTTTCCCTTGCGTTATAAATACTGATAACTGTAAAAAAAACATAACATTTTTCAGAGCTCCTGTCATCAGTCCTCGCTGACCTCACTCGTCACTGCATGTCAGAGGAATGAACGTGTGTCCCAAAGTCAAAGTCGAACAAGAAATACATCGCTCTGATTGGCTGAATCATACATACTTGATGTTGTGGATGGGCTTACTTGAAGAGACCTGCAATATGACGTCATGGAATTCCCCTTTGTAATGTCATCCCCAGCGTGTCGAAAATAGGCCACATCGGACTTAAAACTAGTTTTTTCACTTAACGCATTGTACAATGTATAGGTACAGTCGTTACAGCGCTGTTACTAACATTTAACCAGGTATCATGTAAACGGTATTCATTCTTGGAAATTCCAGTTGTATATACAGAAAGTATAGGGTATTTTGGCATACAGTGGGAACGCATTACATGTATAAACTTTAACTAGAGTTGCAGGAAAACCAAGATGGGACGATTTGAACGCTTGGTTAGTAACCCACAACTCATCCCCCTTGTGATAAAATATACGAATATAATAATTAATAAGAAGAATTCAACCAACTGAGTGTAACGTTAATATCTAAGAAAATTCACCATGCGAGAATTACTGTGAGGTATTCTCTTTTTCTCACGCTAAACCTTCTCATGACTCTCAATTCCTCCCTCAGCAAAACCAATATTGGGGTATACTAATGGTGAGGTGGATACCTTGGAACGTTGTCGAACTAAATATATATTCAATGTACCATGCACTCAGAATCAGACATCCAAATTTTGTAACAGCTACATTGGAGTCCAATGTCTTCCGAGGTTTCACTCACACATTAATAGATCATTCCTTGTAGCATAGTCTAACCACGTATAACCATGCTTCCGGTGACCCACAAAGACCTCGTGTCAGCTGCCTATACATACAACAAGAACAACGTCCATTTAAAAGTTAAATTGTGGTAATAACATCCGAAATAGAAACGACACTTTTATGTGAAAAACATGCTTGAAACTGACAGTGATTTAAAGCTATTCGGATGTCTTTCCGCCACGGTTTCAACCAGCTTTATCGTAGGTACATGGCAGATGCGACATCTTTATGTCGGAGGCATTATGTCATACCTCGTGAAACGTGATGACAAGACATAACTTATAAATGTCCATGCATGAAACAGTGCTTCCTTACCATATGTTGCCCAAGAGACATAGTACTTGTAACAAACCATGTTTTTGCTTTTAATATCTCATTCTCAATGATAGAAAATATATGTGTAAGTAAAACAATATGAACTCATTTTCATTATGGACAATCGTTATTCCTCTTTGCGCGATATGCCAAATGACTGAACAAATGTTGAAATTCTGATCACCGCGATTGAAGTGTGTTATACGGGATTTTTTAAATCATAGAATTAAGAATAAAATATCTGCACACAAAAATTACAATTACGAAAAGCAACAAGGCCAATTCATTACTTTGCATCTGGAGAACTCCTTGGCCGCAGAAAGGACGGTATAAATCATAATTCGTATTTACGTTATTGCCTCACTCACTTACTCTCACAATGGACGAGGCAGGAACTGGCGATAATCCCAGCAATCACCCCCAACAAGCTGCGGAAAACCATGATGATCTACAAAGCAAAACAAAATCCATGAACAAAATGTAACGGAATGAAAATAGTAGTCGTGTGTCTAATGAGACTTTACGCTATTACCTATGGGTGAGATCAAAATTTTATTAGTTTACTTGTGTGTGAATAAATCAATTCCTACACACATTATACAAATGTGACAAAAACTACAACTCACCTGAATGTTGTCAGTATTGATGGAAGTCGCCCTATTCTGCTGCCAATGCTTATTATACAAGGAAAGGAAGATACATGTCCACCCAAAGTCATGGAAGATGTGGAACAGGCTGCACGCGTCAAGCACGATCCTGGCATCTGCATGCTTCCCCTGGCAACATGTATTACATATAATGTAACTACTTCTAGAATGTCATTTATTTTTCCAAGCATTTATTGTTTACGTTGTATCTTCTGTCGACAGAAGAACGTGAAAGGAAAGGTCAACAAGACAATTTTAGTATTTATGTCAGTTCAAGAAATGTTATTTTTTTGCTTTATTTTGGGAAAAATATGTTTTTATTTATTATGTACATTAAACGTGTTGGCCTTAGGGTGTCTATTCTGTAAATACGTGGCAAAATGTATTTCACACATCAGAGTCACTGGTTTAATCGAAATTAAACCGTCCCAATTTGTTAAATCATTCAGAAAATCCTGTCATCGCGATACACAACACACACATAATGAATCACGTGCCCACATTATCTTTCGATGTCGTCATCGGAGGAACGACATTTTTAAAAATTTCTGACATGTTGCTACGAAATATAATTGCATTTCTCTGCCCATCAACTCCCGGTGACACATCTGTAGAATGCATGTAGATCCTATAGAGCATAAATGACTCGTTGCAATGAATATCTATGTATATTCTTAACGTCACCAGTATTGTCGAATTGCAACTATAGGTATTACTTCTTTTTATAATTTATCCAATACCTTGTTTGAAAATGTGAGCTAGGTCAGCCCGTCTTTGCAACGACTTCACAAAATATTTCAACGATGTATTGGGGCGTCACCCAAAGTATGGACCAATATTCGTATATGTTGGTTAGACAATGAGAGCAGATAAAACTACACTCAGAGGTAAAAGTTGAGAATGATTTATTTATTCGAGCCAAAGAAAGCGTTAAAATGGGCGAAGAAACGCAACTAGTCAGTTGTTCGAATTGCACGAAATTGGCAACAAGCATGACATATTCGTGAACAGTGACCAGCAATGTTCACTTTGAAAGGTTAGATGAACATTATATTGGAGCACCTGCAGGGGAACACGGTATTGGAGACGAGGTCTTTTCTCTGATGAGTGGCGTTCCTTGTCTACATGATCACAGGTGCACGTCAAATCAGGTCATGTGCTGTGGGTCAGTTTGGAGATAGGGGCGTGATGACCTGGCTGTGATAACAGCTGCCAGCAATATAGCATATTTTCTCCGGTTCTTGATAGTGCGTCGAAACGTTTGACCAAATCAGAAACAGATTCTGCTAAATCAGATATAGAACGACTGTTCCTGAATTGATGCCGTAAGATTAAATAGTTTAAGTAACGTTATGGGACATAAATCAGTTCCCAAAGGATCATACAACCTTTCAAATTTCAGGAATTACCAACCACTTCCTTTTCCTCATCTTGGTTGTTCAGTTTTAGGAACCCTCGGAAAACGTGGACTAATGCTTATTGCTGTACGTCATCTAATCACAGGGGACTCTGTCATATAATGTTTTTTTGTCCAACATGGACCAAAATGCAGTGACTAGCCTACGTGTCAGTGTCACTGGGAGAATGCAAAGACTGAAAACCAAGAAACCCGCCCCTTCTCAGTCACCTGTTATCCAAAGTCTGGTTTCTCTACATGGAACGTTCGTAGTTAGTGGAAATAACATGACTATTCAATTTAAGCATCAGTATTAACTGCTTGATCAAAGAACTTTCATCAGTACCATCAACTTTTAGCTTGACTCTAAACCCTGATGACGTGTCCATTACTCTTTTTGGACTCCAAAGGGAGACATATTGCTAGGTACGGCAAATCACTACCTCAAAGATTACCCATGATCCTCAACACTATCAAGAAAGGACTATATATTCACAGAAGGCATTTGAGACAAAGGGGATTTAATACATATCGATTATCCAAACCTGAAAGGATTTACTCGCAATTTCAGTGGGGAACTGGCTTCATTTCCGTGACAACATTTGATTTTTCAACTTTTTACACCACTACCCCAAATGACAAACGTGAGGGAAAACTGCATTTCTTGATCCATGGCACAATTGTTAGCGTAGATAAAGTTACACATTGTTCTTCAGGACAATTTTTCAACAATGAAAGCAAATGCCATCTGAGATGTACTGTAGTACTTGTCATCTTCCTTAGTGAAAACATACACGAATGGGTATCCCCATAGGCACACGCTATGCTCTCCTACTTGTGGAACTGTTTATGCATATGTATATTTTTTCTTGGGTAGGCAAAATCGGAAGAAGTAAAAATAATCAACTTACGTATATCGGAGATCTGTTATGGTTAAATGACAATCGAACAAACAATTCCCTTTTAATGATTTACACACCTGAACTAAACTAAAAGGAGGTGAATTAGAACGTTTCATGTGTTTCATATTTAGATGTTTGCATAAATGTTCAGGGTGACAAAACAACTTTCAATATGGCTGTATGAGAAGAGGGATGATTTTTAAGTAAACGTTTCCTGTATGTGGAATAATATTGAACGGCTCGAGATTTAGGTGTTCACATTTCACAGCCCGTGGAGGAACACGGCATATGACTCAACAAATAGTGACATTCTCAACTCATTACACCAGTTAATTTCTAAAAGTAACCGCTTTCAGTGATTATCCCCTCTACATATATATTATCCACAAAAAGAAACGCATAGGCATTTTCTATTTTTTTTAATCTATTAATTGCCTATTGTGTTAAAAAAAACCATCAAAATATGTAACAAAAGTGTTGATAACATGTACACAACTGTACAAGTAAAAAATCGACTTGACCTGAAAATGTTGATTTTGATGAGATTTCTTAAAAGGATTAAAAATGCATCGCCATAACGCAACAGAAATCACCTACCAGTTGAAACTGTGCAGAAAAGAGCATGCACTGTCTGGCTATAAACATCCAGATTACTTTCGGAAATCGGCATTTGTCTTGGAGGCGTTAACTAAAATTATCCACTTGGTTGTATAGACATTTCCTTCTTCTAAGCTGATGTAAAATTTCATGTACTAAACTCTATTTGTGGACGAGTTATACATGATTGAAAACACAACATTTCCGCAACAGATTTCTGGGTTGTGCGGTTTTTTTTGGGAATAGTATATATTCAATGTAAGACACATTTTATATAACTTGATTTTCTGCGGCAGCTCATTTCGTTGCTAGGCATAACCAACACCATTACTAACATATTTATTATTCAATCATTTATCTGTTATTTTGTCTCAATATTATTCTTTAGTTGTCAGATTATTTCCAAAATGTATCCAGCTATTGGAACAATGTACTGGAGCGGCGTTTATATAAGGCTCTCGGCTTGTTCGCCTGTCCAGGTTTCTGCTTTGACAAAATAAAAATATTTTTAAACCAACACGGCATATGACTCTTGTGCAGTAGTTGCTTGAGCAAATACAAAAATATAGCATGTTCCAAGTATGTGGCAATCATCAATACCGTAGGATGTATACACTATAACTGTGCCCAGGTCCACAAAAAAATACACAGCTACACAATACCAAACCTACGGAAGCGTAGTAGGGCCACGGTGAAAATTTTTTTTGGTCTTACTATCTCCTACGTAGGACTTAATATCTCCTACGTAGGACTTAGTATCTCCTACGTAGGACTTAGTATCTCCTACGTAGGACTTAGTATCTCCTACGTAGGACTTAGTATCTCCTACGTAGGACTTACTATCTCCTACGTAGGACTTAGTATCTCCTACGTAGGACTTAGTATCTCCTACGTAGGACTTAGTATCTCCTACGTAGGACTTAGTATCTCCTACGTAGGACTTAGTATCTCCTACGTAGGACTTAGTATCTCCTACGTAGGACTTAGTATATCCTACGTAGGACTTAGTATCTCCTACGTAGGACTTAGTATCTCCTACGTAGGACTTAGTATCTCCTACGTAGGACTTAGTATCTCCTACGTAGGGACTTAGTATCTCCTACGTAGGACTTAGTATCTCCTACGTACGTAGGACTTAGTATCTCCTACGTAGGGACTTACTATCTCCTACGTAGGACTTAGTATCTCCTACGTAGGACTTAGTATCTCCTACGTAGGACTTAGTATCTCCTACGTAGGACTTAGTATCTCCTACGTAGGACTTAGTATCTCCTACGTAGGACTTAGTATCTCCTACGTAGGACTTACTATCTCCTACGTAGGACTTAGTATCTCCTACGTAGGACTTAGTATCTCCTACGTAGGACTTAGTATCTCCTACGTAGGACTTACTATCTCCTACGTAGGACTTAGTATCTCCTACGTAGGACTTAGTATCTCCTACGTAGGACTTAGTATCTCCTACGTAGGACTTAGTATCTCCTACGTAGGACTTAGTATCTCCTACGTAGGACTTAGTATCTCCTACGTAGGACTTAGTATCTCCTACGTAGGACTTAGTATCTCCTACGTAGGACTTAGTATCTCCTACGTAGGACTTAGTATCTCCTACGTAGGACTTACTATCTCCTACGTAGGACTTACTATCTCCTACGTAGGACTTACTACCTATATATATTGTTCTATTCATGCTGTATTCATTTGGTGCGGTAATGGAGAAAGCGATTTCTCTATATTTTTCACTGGGATTAGGATACACTGAAATACTGGCGTGTCTAGCGCATATCAACGGAATCATTGTTAGCAGACGTACACTTAAGAGGGTCCTGAAAAGAAAGAGTCTATATCGCCGTGGAAAACATAGTGACATTGTTGACATTGCCCTTTTTTTAACGGAGCAACAGCAGGTTTCTGGGAAATGTTTTGGGTACAAAATGATGCATTTGAAATGTATACAGAATGGACTAGTTGTTACACAGGAGGTTGTGAGGCAGCTCATGCAGATCATCGATCCCCAAGGTGTGAAACTGCGACGTCGTCATCGTCTCCTGAGACGAGAATACTTCAACTATGGACCAAACTTTCTTTGGCATATGGACAGTTATGACAAACTCAAGCCATATGGGATATGCATCAACGGCGCAATCGACGGTTTCTCTCGATATATTGTTTGGTTAGAAGCTCACAAAACAAGCAGTGATCCCAGGCTTATTGCCGGATACTTTTTGCAAGAAGTGAGAAGGCGG